TTCAGATTGGTGTCATTCTCTCCGATACTGTTTCAGAGTGGTGTCATCCTCCCCCCCCATACTGTTTCAGATTGGTGTCATTCTCCCCCATACTGTTTCAGATTGGTGTCATTCTCCCCCCCCCCCCCATTCTGTTTCAGATTGGTGTCATTCCCCCCCCCCCCCCGACTGTTTCAGAGTGGTGTCATTCTCCCCCCCCATACTGTTTCAGATTGGTGTCATTCTCTCCGATACTGTTTCAGAGTGGTGTCATCCTCCCCCCCCCCATACTGTTTCAGATTGGTGTCATTCTCCCCCATACTGTTTCAGATTGGTGTCATTCTCCCCCCCCCCCCATTCTGTTTCAGATTGGTGTCATTCCCCCCCCCCCCATACTGTTTCAGATTGGTGTCATTCTCCCCCCCCCCCCCATACTGTTTCAGATTGGTGACATACTCCCCCATACTGTTTCAGATTGGTGTCATTCTCCCCCCCCCCCCCATACTGTTTCAGATTGGTGTCATTCTCCCCCCCCCATACTGTTTCAGATTGGTGACATACTCCCCCATACTGTTTCAGATTGGTGTCATTCTCCCCATACTGTTTCAGATTGGTGACATTCTCCCCCCCCCCCTTACTGTTTCAGATTGGTGTCATTCTCCCCCCCCCCATTCTGTTTCAGATTGGTATCATTCCCCCCCCCCCTTACTGTTTCAGATTGGTGTCATTCTCTTCCATACTGTTTTATTTTAGCCGGACACGACATTATTTTGACAAGGCATTTGACGATGTTTTGATTTCGTGCGGACGGCATTTGCCACCTTGTGACGCTATGGAGTATTTGTGCTGTTGTTGGTGTTGTTGTTGTTGACTTTGTTGTCTTTTTGGAGTCCTGTTGTTGCTATATTTAACTATATTAGTAGGAAATACGCAACAGTAAGTTGTAGGTGTAGTAAACAAAATATAGCGTTAGCCAGCGAGATGCAAAGCTTGTGGTAGCTGGCAACGTCGCAGTTTTTACTTAACAAAAACTAGATCACGATCTCAATTTTCGTTTGTAGGCTAAACCAGCGAGCAGGTCGATGGCGAAATCAAGAGTGACGCAACAACCGCTCACCTTAACACAAATTAAATGTCGTCCCAGAGTGTCAACGAAAGTAAGACGTCGTCTGCTTGACAACCAACCACGAGAGTCTAAAGCTAATTGTTTACCGGTTGGGCATTTTATTTTAATTAGTGAAACATCTGACGTCATTACGTTCAGATAGATACGTCAGCGGTCGTTTTATTTATTTCCTGTATAGTCCAAAGCTACGACACGAGTTTAGGGGGTCATCCATAAATGACGTCAAGCTTTTTTGGTACGATTTTTACCTCCATCCCATCCGTCAATGGTAATCACAAAAAAGTCAGCCCCCCCCCCCCAACCTAGTAAAATGACGTCACACATCAATCTTCAACCCCCTTAAAATTGCAGTTGAATTTTTTTTTTTTAACATCGATTTTTCTAAAATATTGACTGAACTCGGTCAACTTAGAGTATTTTAATCAATTTCTATAACAATTTATTTAAACTGTTTTCTAAAAGGCGAAAAAAAAAACGGCTAAAATTCATGCACCTGGCATGGGTAAACGGTCATTCACCGAGCAGCATAGGTAACCTGAAGACATAAGCACTCAAAAAAATATCGATGGAGCCCCACTACCCAGTAGCATAGAAGGGTACAAGGATCTGCCATCTCAAGTAGGACTATACCAGCCTTGAAGAAATGGAAGAAGACTTCATGATGGCATCTGTGTCAGCACAGAAATGCCATGTGCCTCTCTGAATATCATCAATATGTCAACATTTTTATGTTCTGTTTTAATATGAAAATCCCCGGTGGAAAATTCTCTAAATCATAAATCTTTTAAACATCATTTATTTATTTTTCTCTGGAAATGTCATCAATGTGCCAAAATTCTATCAGACCAAATATTCTAAGCGACGTATAAATATTTTAACCGGCAGGATATCCACCGGAACTGACGCATATCCGTTGCTCACAAAAACTTTCTTTTTCATTTCACTCATTATTTTTTTAAAGTTTAAAATCGAGTAGGGGTGGTGGTGGTGGTAGAGGACGGTCGGGGCGTGGAGGCTAGTGGTCAATGCAGGTGCATGAGCGTAGCTGGGGTGGGTGGCGCTCGGAAGGATTTCCATCCGATTGGTGTATAGAGAAAACCTTTTACCACGTGGAAAATAACCAATGGTAAAGTCTAAAATGTGTTAATACACTGTTTTATACAGTGGCTCTAATTTTTTTTTTAAACTCTTATCGGATGGGTCCAGAGTTTCTTACAGGCATCTTTTCGGGGAGGGAGAGCCCACCCCCCCAAACGAGATGGATTTTATATAATAAACATACACTTTTACTAGTGTCCGCCCCCCCCCCCCAAATGTTGACCGCCCCCCCCCCCCAAAAAAAATTCAAGTGCCCCCCCCCCCCCTCCGGAGAAAAAAGTCTGGATGAAGAATGGATGGGTCGCCATTCCTGTTTTTCCCACGTTTTCTTTAACTTGCTTTCTCTGTGTCTTTCTGTGTTTGTTTGTCTTTCCAATCAAATCTTGCGATCGAAATTTCTGGCACTTCCCAGTTAGCTAGCGCGCTGAAATTTTCAGGGAAGCTTTCTTTTGGATGACCATTGAATATTCAATTGTTATTATTACTAAATTGATCAATGGAAACATTTTATTGAGCATTTTAGACCGCTATATAATCTATATATATAATTTTCCTCTGCGAGCCATTAGAAAAAAAACGAGCGACGCGTACCTCGCGCGCAGTGAAGCTGAACGATCCAATGTCGCGACAGGCTTAGGGGCAGATAATTTCACACAACGTGTTTTTTACGAGTTGTCTTTTTAGGAGTTGTCTTTTTACGAGTTGTCTTCGTTTACCCAACAAAAAAGTGAAAAGATAAAATCGATAGCAAGATTTTAATGCAAACAAACAGACAAAGACTAAAAAGTAGAAAATAATAATCATTAAAAAAGTTTTAAAAAACCCACGTTTTCTGATTGAACTAAAAAGTAGAAAATAAATGCTATACATCACAATAATGCAAGCGATCACTCTACTATAAGCGATGAAAAACGTGGGGCGCCGAAGTAAAAGTTATATTACTAATGATTAGATAATACTATTGACTTTTATTAGGGAGCTTGTAGAGAGTCAACAGTATTAGAAACTGTAAGAAAATCACGGCGCCCCACGTTTTTGCTCGCTTATAGTAGAGTGATCGCTTGCATTATTGTGATGTATAGCATTTATTTTCTACTTTTTAGTTCAATCAGAAAACGTGGGTTTAAAACTTTTTTAATGATTATTATTTATACTCAGGGGCGAACGCTACATAGTAATTCTTCACTATCATTTTTAAGAATAGAAAACAACAGAACACAACAAAAATACACTTCAGACAACACACAATACAAAGTACAAAAAAAAAAGCAAAAAAAAAACCCACGATTATTGATAATTCTATTATACAAAAGGATAAAAACGTTCTTAAAATATTAAAATATATATATATAAATAAAACGGGAGCGATCTCCCCTAAACTTTCTCGAATATTTTTATATAACGCTGCGGGCGATGGCACTTAGGGATATAGACATGATTTTAATCAATTTTAAATTACTTAAAGTTTTTAAAATAGAATCTCGTAGAAAAAAAAAATTGCGCACCAAGCGAACGCCAAAAAAAATCTGTATAATAGTGCGGAATATTATTAGTAATTTATAAATTCACATGCGTTTTTGAGAAATCGGAAATAGCGTCATTTACTCAAAATTTGACAAAAGGCAGAGAATTAGATATTTTACTAAAATGTGAACTTTCATTTATCTATCTGAAACAGTAATCAATTTTAGGCTTTTGAAAAATTTAAAGTAGAATAAGTGCCACTTCCGGTTACCGGAAATCGTTGAAAAGTTGATACAGAACTACAAATTTGATATAATACTTAAATATGAAATTTCATCAACCTAGCTGTAACGGTAATCAAGTCATCGTGTTCACAGACACACATACACACACACACTCACATACACACACAGACATACAGGCAAGATTGCAAAAATGTTTTTCCGACTTAGGAGCTGTAGAAGTGATTTTTTTTTGGGTCGTCCATAAATGACGTCACACTCGTAGGGTGGAGAGGGGGTCCGTAATTTTGTGACGGTGTGTGATGAGGGGGGGGGGGGGGTTAGCAGGTGGGACGTCACATTTTTGCATTAACAAAACGAAATGTTAGAAAACAATTTTTAGCCGTTATTTCGCGTTTTAGAAAACTGTTTTAATAAATTGTAATAGGAATTGATTAAAATACTCTATGTTGTGAGAATTGAAAGAGTTCAGACAAGATTTTGGAGAAATATCGATGTTTTAAGAAAAATTCAACTGCAATTTTGAGGGGGGGGGGGGGGGGGGGGGGGTTGTAGACTGAGGTGTGACGTCATTTTAGGGGGGGGGGTCTGGCTTTTTGTGACCATGTGTGAGGAGGGGAAGGGGGGTGAGGTAAAAATCGTCAAAAAAAGCGTGACGTCATTAACGGATGACATCTTTTGCAGGATTTCAATACTTTCTCTATAGTTCGTATACAAGAAAGTAAAAAATCTTTACAGCAACATGTTTTTAAGTGCGCTGAAAATATGAAAATAAAACTAATTTGCTTTCTTAAATAAAAAGCGTATGTCTCTAAAATATATAAAAGATCTCATGAGCGACCAAAGCTTTTATATTAAAGAAAGCAAGTTGGTTTTATTTTCTTATTTTCAGTGCATTTAAAAGCTTGTTGCAAGAAAGTTATTTTTATATTTGTTTTATTTTCTTCTAATTTATGAAGTCGACAGGACTAAAAATATTTGCTTCAAAACACCATCAGTAGCTCGCGACGATTATCTGTCCGGAGAATATAGTCGTCTCTGACAACAAATGAAATACCAGAAGTTGAACCAGAAGTGCTTGGGGCGGAAAGAAAAAATACATTCAAATTTGCTGGAGACTAGTCTATGGATAGATAACTCTCGTAACATTGATCAGTAAACAACAAAATGGCTAGCAGGGCAATAGGACGAGCAACGGTCAGAGCTGTTACATCAAAACGTCTAACACCACAGAAAGCACCCCTCGTTCTGGTATTTTCATTACTTATAAATATGATTTCACAAATAGTGGTAGTTAAAATTATCTCTCCTATTTGAATGTAAAAAGTAAATGAAAAAGAAGTGATAAAAATAAAATTTAATTTAGGCCCCAGGTTGCCTGAGGTTAAAAATAATTTATTTTAAAATAAAATTATATAGGTAATATCACTAAATATAGGCTAGATCTAGAATCTATAGTATAGTAATTCGGTAATCTATCGTTTTAGCGTAATCAATTCGGCTGCAGTAGAAATGTGCGGGAGAGTTAACTGATGAATATATTTGTTTAAATAAGTATAATTTAAGTCAAATGTTACAAAACATAACAGATAATTGATTTAATATAACAATCACTGACCAAAACAATTTAAAATATCATGAAACTAACTTTAAACAAGGTGTTTGAGATAAATATTAGCAGATAAAAACAGCGGCCATCTTTCCAAATAAAATTTAGAGTAGTTTCCCTTGATACACATGTCTATTCGTATGTATATTGTGTTGATTTTGTTGTTGAATATACATAGCTGTCTTGTTTAATAAAAGTGGGACAGAGGGCCGTCTTCTTATCTTTAATTTCAATTGAAATTAAGGCTATGTATGTATGTACATCCAAGATCTCAAAGACTTTTGGGAGGTCCAACATTTATTAAACCCTTTTGTACTGATTAACTTGTCAATTATTAGGTCGTCCATATTCTTCATAAATGACGTTGGACTCAAAATATGGGACGGTGTAAAATATTTTTTCAAAAATGATGAAGAATATATTCGTGTTCGTTAGAAATTGTGATTAAGGGTTCGGGTATAGTAGAACTGCGATATGATATTAAATCATCATCTTGCTTTTAGTAACTATTGGGTGAGAGGGAAATCGTCGGGAAAAGTATGTCGTCATTTATGGGCGATCCATTTAATTAAGCCTAGTTGTTTTTTTTGTCTGTAGACATTAGTCTTAGGCCTACACCTTTTCTGAATTAAGATTATTGTGTTTTTTAAAATAGGTTCAAATTTTAATTAGTTACATTTGAATACCACATGGTTTTTTTTTTTTTTTTTTTTTTTTTTTTTTTCCTTCTGCTATCATCAGTTTTTTTATTTCTTCAGTAGTTAATGTTTACCCCTCCCCACCACACATTATTACAACAACAAAAAACCACCCACTATATATGTCAGCGTAGATATATAGAATTAGACTAGACGAGTAGAGGTTACCATAGGACGGTACGAACTTGACAGTAGACGATTTGGTGCGAGAGTATTGTGCGCGTGTTCAATAAAATTTGTGTGGCGTGAGTGTGACGTGAGCATGGTGCGACAATGTACCGATGACGTAAGACGCAGCAGTGAAGTTAGTTAGAAAAACTAGATGAACCTATAGTTCGTAGGAAAATTAGAATCTATCACTTAAAAAAAGAAATACGTCATTTTTCTAAACCACGCCGTTTCATCCCCCAATAAGCACAACGTCACAAAGTTCGCGGCGCGTGTGACGTCATTTGTCATTAGGCTAATGTTTAAGAAAGAGATACCGCGTAATTAAAAAAAAATCAAAACAGGCACTAAATGACTATGACGATGAGACTAGCGACATTTAGCCTGACGAATAGATCTAAATGACTTTAGTTCGGTGAATTATATTGGTGTTTAATTTATTACAGTGGCATGAAGTTCTCCCTCTACTATACAAATTCACGTGCTTTTAATTTCTGCAACATGCTGCCCTCAGATGTTCGGTTCTAAAATGCCCGTGACACAGCGGCTTCGGTAAATGCATTTAGGCTCCCGGTCCCACCTATAAACGTCTGTCCATTAAGCTCCACGCAAAACGTGTGATTAATATGTGGACATAAGCGGCGCTAGTGGTGGTGTCAACAGGGGCCAAGCTCAGGTCTTAAGCTAAAGGTGCTCCGCACTTCATAAAAGACAAAATTGATGTTCAGATATCGTCGGACTCTGGCGTTTTGCCGACGGCCGTACTCCTAATGCACAGTCTTAGAGGCTGTCCACTGCTAACACTATTTTATGTTAAATTTAAGCCAATACTGAGCTGTGGCTTTACATTAGTTCAGTGGCGTAGCGAGGTCGAGTGTCACCTGGTGCGGCACTTAATGGTGTCTTGGACTCTTGTCGAATATTGTTGACAGGCGCTACTTGGTTTGAGCCTTATTGTCAGAAGTTATTTCATTTGGAGTCAATATAGTGCGGCTTATTTTCGTCGGTAGGCATTTAGTGGCAGGCCCTTTTTGGCGGGGATGATGTGCTCAGGTTGTTAAACACCGCTTAGGACAACAGGCATGCAATAGTTATGATCATTCGTTATGAACAAATGTATGCATGAAAACGAACGCTTTATGTTCCTCAATTTCATTGAGCACAGCTTTAAAGAAGATTCCAAAATAGACGTCACGCATCCCCCCCCCCCCCCCGACCACCCTGCGTAAGTTGACGGCACATTAGCATAGCATATGTGACATCGTTTATGGATAACACCATATAACTCATTTTGGGTATTTGGTATCAACATTTTGACAACAAAGGTTATTCAAAATGTATATAGGACTTGACATCTACCATAAATGACATCGCACACTTAAGGGGTGGAGTAACTGGTTTTGAGACGACGTTTTACGCGGGAAATGGGAGGGGTAAGAAACGTGAAACGTTATGTATTTCGCCAAATACAAAAATGCTGAATATATCGTTTTCATTAGAACTATGGCTTGACTTTTTAACAGGCAGGGCAAAAAGGTAATTTTCGACATTACGACTATTTCGTAACGGCGAAAATGAGGGGGGGGGGGGTTAAGGTGAAGAAAGGTCAAAAAACGGGACGTCATTTATGATTAAATCACTAATTAAAGGAAAAAAGCATGAAAATATTACATGAAAATAGCAAACAAACAATAACACAAACAATAAGAATTAACTCAAACTAATATTTAAATAAACATCAGATATGTAGTGGTAGCTCTATAAAAATAGGGAGTATCTTAATGTGTAAAAATTGCATCTCATAATAATAATTCTAGAACTGATGTTTATTGTCAGTCAATTAAATTGTTTAAAGGGCAGAATTTAAAAAAAAAACGCATGCTTTGTATTTAAACACAAGACTAACGTATTTAATAGCAAACATCAATACATTTCCATACAAATAGAAATTAAAGGGAAATGACTCAAAATAATATTTTCTTAAGATGGCCGCTGTTTTTAATAGCAAATTTAGTATCTGGAACATCGATGTTAAACCTTAATTTCATGACATTTTTATTGATTTAAACCTTAAATGTGGTTTAATATTCAATTATCTTTAGTATTTTAGTAAAATATGCAAAAATATATTCACATCTAAGCCATATTTGATAGTTACCTTATCCCTACATTACTAGTGACGGCCGAATTGATTACGCTAAAGCGATAGATTACCGTAATTCTGGTCTAGAATATTATATTAACTACTAAATAACTAAGATTGTAACACTTAAAATGTAGCATTTGATTTGTGACCCTCCAATCCATGACAAGCTGAGTTTCGCAGTTTACTGCAGTTTTAGAATAACAATAGAGTAGAGACAAAAATAAGAGGAAACTGTCTGTTTCTCATACCTCTGCGGCTATTCACAGTTCACTACATCATCAAAAAAAAAATGCCTGACACACAACCACCATAGCAGTCACTTCAATATAATAGAGTCTATACCCATCTTTCTTAAAATGAAAAAAAAGTGTCATCCTCCTGGTCACATCTGCATGTTTTTCTTAGTCTGTTTAAGTGGTGTCCACAAATTTTCTCTATCTACACTATCAATGATCAAGGTCCTCATCATATTTATTGACTTTTAGCCTTACTGTAGCAATTTATGCTTTTACACTGAGACAATCTTCTTATCCATGTTAATTTAGCTTGAGACCAGCTGCCATGGAGTTTGTGTATGTTTGTATGAATTGTAAATATGTACATTATTTTAAAAAATTATAAGTAAAATAATCAAATAATAAAACCAAACAATTTTAAAATCTTCACAAAACCACTGCATTAATTTAATAAGTGCTGCCAGTTTAAATGACACACAAAGCAACAAAAAGGGTGTTAGTGAGTCAAGAAGTTCCCATGATAGCCTTAAATTTATCCCCAGTTATTTTGTGATTCCCATATTGTGCAAACTGAAACCAAGTTTTAAAGTTATGATCATTATAGTATATATAATTCTCTTCTGGGAGCCGTTAGAAAACAAGCTGCAAGTCCCCTCTCTTTCTCTCTATCACTATCACTACCACCCCCACCCCACCCCAACATTGTCTGGTGAGCGGTGTTCACTCTAAATGTTTACAAAACTAAATGTTTACAAATCGTAGAGCCGTAGAGCCGGGTTTCTATTAGGGGCAGATAATTTAGTTCGATTTTAAACTTACAGGAGGTAACTAAGAAATAACTAAGAGGAGGCTGCTTTCACAGGGGGGGGGGGGGGGGGGTTAGGGTCGGGATTAGGGGAAAGGGGGGGGGGGTAGTGTTTTAAAGCAAATATTTTCAGTGGCAGCATTGGTACTGTCGAATTCACAAATTATGAATTACTGAAAAGTAGAAAATAAAACAACTAAATAGCGGCGTATGATACGCTGCGGGTCGGCTCGTAGTATATATTACTAAAGTGACACTATAGAATTAATCACTGTAGACCTATAATTAATTAAATACACATGCTATTGAATTAGTGTATTGGACAACAAAATATTTGTGGATATCTTCATCTGGGGGATGCCGATTCGTCCAAAGTGTTCGTAAACAAAATCCATTATAATTATAGTCCTTATTTTCCTTTTGACAAAAACATCTAATTCTATTTGCTGGTTATTTCAGACCCAAAATGCAGTGACTAAAATCAAACAGCTGATGGCTGAAAGACCAGAAATGGTAAGTTGTGGGTTTTAAAACATGTTGGAATTTGAATAAAATTCTTAGATCTGCACTAAACACATGACAGTATGCCTAGACATATATGTATATATTTTTTTTTATAGACAGGAATTATGATTGGAGTGAAAACAAGAGGATGTAATGGTCTCACTTACACATTAGATTATACAGATAAAAAGGGAAAATTTGATGAGGAAGTTGTCCAAGATGGTGATTACTACTTTCTATATTTCTTTGATTGTTTTACTTTGAATGTTTTAATTTATACTTAACATTTTTTCCCCTAAGTTACATTTTTAAAAATCTCTATAAAAAAAATTCGAAGTTCCCCTTTCAGAACTAACAATCCATAGGGCAGTTGAAGTAGATTTCATGTTTCTTGACGTCAGTGTTTAAGGGATGGTGTAATCAGCACTGCGCCCCGCCACTTTACTTTCCCTAACTTAAGTCAGGTACCCATCAGAGCTGGGTGGACTCATGGACATCCTGCAGTCTCAAGTCTGGACTAAGACCCAAACTAAAAACAATCAGGCCAGCACTCTACCATCCAAACACTCTGTCCATCTCTAAAATAATTACTGATAACTATTGTTTTCTTTCTTTCTGATTTTAGGTGTGAAGGTTTTTATTGATGCCAAAGCACAGCTAACACTGTTAGGGACAGAAATGGATTACCAAGAAGACAAATTAACAGCAGAATTTGTATTCAACAATCCCAACATTAAAGGAACATGTGGTTGTGGAGAAAGCTTTAATGTATAACGTTAGGCTTTTAAGTTTATTTCTTTTTGTACAAAAATGTAAATAACTGATAGTATATTCTAGAAGCTAACTCTTAGATACATATTGTTTAAGAATATTAGCCTTTGTAAATACAATCTTTTTCTTTTGAGTGATTAAGTTTAAGATATTAACATTCAGGTTTTGAATAGAATTTTCAATGTATCTAAGTGATGCTTGCAAGGCTGTTATTGTCTTTCTGTGCCAGTATAGTTGATAAATGACTCAAAATGTCATGTTAGTAAAACAGTATTTATTGTGCTTGTTAAGTGGTTGCATAAATTGTCTTGTTAGTAAAACAGTATTTATTGTGCTTGTTAAGTGGTTGCATAAATTGTCTTGTGATGAGCTGGTATCGGTACAAGTAATTATAAATGATAAAAAGAAAGTTATCATTTCCTTAAAGTTTATCCTAACGTTTAGTTTGTGAAGGAGATAGCACAATTTTGCATACAACTAGCTGTATGAAATTTAACATAGAAGTAGAGGATTTCTTGATGTGAACTAATAAATACATGATAACATTAATTCAGGTTGAACGTTAAAAGCTGTTTGTGTTTCCTAAATTAAGGCATTTGTTACCTTTTGATGGCTACTTATTACTTTTAGACAACTCATAGTTAAATATTTATATAGAAAAAAAGTATTGTAAAGAAGCTTCATGATCTTGTACAATAAAAACACACACAAAGAATAAATCTTTACCTAAAATTGTTTACTTAGTTTAATTAATATTTTATGTTTTCTTATATATTTTAATTGATGAACATTAACTAACACACTTCTGTTCTTAAAATGACTGTCCAAGTGGCGAAAATTACAAGTCAGAAACTAAAAGAACTTCATTCAAGAAATTCATTAAAAACAATTAATGGCCTGTAATAGGCTCACACATTTTTGTTTACTTATGTAGGTAGATGTAGTCAGGGAAATAAAGGGACTTTATATTCAACATAACTTCAAAATATCAAAGCTTTTAATGAGATATTAATGACAGCGAGGCTAAAAAACATTTGTTAGATTATCTGATGAAAATATATTCGATAACCTCTATGTGTCCAACAATCTTTCTCCAAAAGTAGGTTGGTAACACCTATTGGAATTTTAAAAATAACACCCCTGCTGTGATAGGCTTGAAACTTTAAATACTCAACATTTCATGTGTTATTATTTCTGACTCATAGTAAGGCAAATAATGGATGAATAGTTTAAGATCAATGCACATACACATACACACGAGGGGTATTAAAAATGCTTGTTTTAGTCTCCCCTGCCTTTAGTCTATTTAAGTCCAGACAAGCAGGTCAAGATTTCATTTTACCCAGCCCATTCATAAATATTCAAATACTAATCAATCAGTATCCATAAAAATGCAACGATACAGTGACATAGATTAAAATTTATTTAAAATGCAGTATGACATTTTGAAAATGAGCATTATTTACATTTTATCAGCTGAAACAACAAGATTGCTGCATGTCTGAAGCCACAAAAGTTATGTAGTTTCCTCAACTTCCTGATGTGTAAAATTCAATCTTCACACATTCCTGCCACAACCTTTGAAAGTTTTTTGCACATATTTTCAATTTGTTCATTGTCCATTAGTTCAGATGCCATGACTGCATTGGCTATTGCTATTGTTTGTATATCATTTTTAGCCTTTATCCAAACTCTGCCATTTAGGCCAACTGCTATTTCAAACTTGAATCTTTTTCCAAGATGACTGATTAATGCATTATCTGGGCTTAGCAACCTAAGAGGGATATAACACATATAGTTTATATAACTATGTTGTTATAAAAAAGGTGCTAATTAATTATTTTTTTTAACAAAAACAAAACAAAACATACAACTTATTGAATGAAATATAAAATAATGAAAATCCAAACTTACTTTCTAGATAATTGAAGTGATACTTGAAAAAAGAATCCACCATTTCGTATCACACCCATTCCATTACTTCGTCCATGACTGTCTATACATACTAGCTCAGGCTCCATTTCTTTGTTTGCCACCAAAAGCTTTGCATACAATATGTCACCTATCTAAAATAAAATAAGTGTAGACATTTGAAGTAATGTAAATAATAACAATTTTAAAAATTTGCATTAAATGTAATTTGGAGAAAAATGTCAAAGGTAATATTCTTTAAGTACATAAAACTCCAGACGAGATGGTGATAGGTCCAATTATTCTTCATTTAGAACAGAATAGTTGAAATGCAGTTAGAACTTTCATGTGAAAATGTGTACTTACTTTAACATCTGGACGATTTCTTTTAGTTGAACCTTCAAATGAGAGATATGATAAGCCAGCCAGTTCACTGCTACCAATGTCGACACGAAAAATATCACCTGCTTTTTGGGTAACAATGCCCAGCACTGCATCTCCTTTTATTGGTACATACTGATAATTGTAAAATGTGGATTATTAATTAGTGGAACAAACTAGGGTTAGTATACACATGCTAATGTGATACGTACACATTGCTAACACATAAGCCTATTTAAATTGGGTTCCAAGACTATAATGCCATGCAAATACACCTTGTGACTGAGGTTTATAAACTACCATTAGCAAGAACAGAAACAGCAAAATTAAGGTATATGTTTCCTATATTATTTTCTATGGAATCATTATAATTTTAAAGAACCAACAAAATCCACCTAAAACTTCTAGTCTTTCTTCTTCTTCTTCGTTCTTAATTGTGAAATATGGTGGAGGATTCAGACAACAAGTCCAACTTCGTGGACAAACCGGACTGTGGTCTCCAGTTTGGCAGGTGCCCCATATAATTTTTCCCTGAGTGGGGTGGGCAGGGGCCAGTGTCGTGCTCGTGCCTGGCTATACAATGTACACTCCTGAAGTACATGCTCTAGTAATTTATAAACTAGATTACTACTCTCATATGATATCATTAGTCTAGAATACACAATCTAAACCTAGACGCTAGACTCTAGCTAGCCTAAACTACCAACTATAATTACTAAGTGTCTAAGACTAGGGACTAGACTAGGTCACTAGATCTAGGTCTGGTTTTTAAATAAAGTAGTACTAGTAGAATCTAGACCTAGAATAGTAAACTTAGGCCCTAACAAATAGGGGTCTAACTATTTACTATTATTATTGCTACTACTAGTAGTACACTCATTATAATAACACTATTTATTATTACAGTTAGTACTGACCTAAAAATAACTATTAAATGTTAATTTAAAAACTAGATCTAGAATTAAAGTTTTAAAATTAGGCCTTAATAAATGTATAATAAAAACAAGTTAATAAAAAGTCTAGTGACAATTTAAGCGCAATTTCCTTAATTAAATTTTTGTGACCGAACGAAAGGATATTTTTGAAAACTTTCTTCTGCAATATTGTTCTAAATTATGGCAGGAATCGATTGGTAAATGTTTCAAGTCGGTAAGTGGTCTGGTTGCAGAGAAAAGGGCCAAAAACTGCATTTTTTCGAGGTTTTTTGGCTTTTCCGGGAAATCCAGGAAGGAATTCCGGGAATTTTTTTGGCCCACAATCATCCTCGGAACTTGCTTAACATATTTGCTTTTGGAACTAGTCCTCCATATTGCTTCGTTGAGGAGGAGATACGACTTAAAGCTGCGGACACACATCCATCCATAAATAACGAATTAATAATCGCAATTATCAGTATGGAAATTGCGCTAAAAAATGGCTGGGCAGGCGACTTTTTATACAAGTGTCAGATAATAGAATCTTCTTTAAAAAAGGGGTGTTAGGTTACTGGTAGTGGTAGGTAACTAAATACACACATGGCTGTTAGCATTGACATTAGGCTAATGTCAATGCTAACCCTGTCCCTAACCCCAACCCTAGTCCTACCATACGACTAACCCTAATTTGAATAATTTCTAATTATAAAATATTAAAATTGGTAATCTCACGATATAGCGTCGGAAATTATCTGGTAATGTTTGTTGAGTTTCGGTAACATTCATTACTGTAAACCGTATTTTATTTGACAGTTGAAATAAAAACAAAGTCAAGTGCATTAAATAAATGTTTTAACTTTATTTAAAGTTTAATTGACAGAAAATTAGCAACAATTAGTAAATCTAAATATTAATAAAGTCGAGTGTAGTGATTAATGTTTTTTTAAGAAACACAAAAAAAAACTTGCAGAAGATTTGCGACAACCAGATTCTAGATCTAGAAAAATAAGACGGTTAGATTTACTAAAGTTAAAAGTAGTAAGAAGAACTAGAACAAATGTTTAGCTGCAGCAATAATTAGCACATTCACATAAAATAATTAGAAATACAAAATATTTGGCAAAACAGTATATATAAAATGCAACTAAAATCAATCCTAGTACATTTTTAAACATTAATACATTATGTTTTAAAAATAATATGGCGTCAAATAAATGATGGTTTACACTAGTTTACGGTATTTCCGGAACGGCTCGACAGACTACGCCATGGTTTTACTGTTTTTTTACTGCTATACAATTCCGGAATAATAACAGACGCTATATTGTGATTTTACCTTAAAATTAGTGTAGATTACAATACTACCTATTTACAAACCAACACACCTATTTTATGGAAGGGTCTATTACCGGACATCGGTATCTAAAATCATCCGGTGAAACCTATGAAAAAGTATTTTGGTAATCTATCGCTTTAGGTACGTGAAATCGGCCGCGGATAGTAATGTACGAAAAAGTTACCTCATTGTCAAGGCTTTATTAATAAAAGTAGTATATAGTGAAATATTTGTGTCAAATATTATAGATAATTAAATAATAAGCCAAAATCAGTGGCTAAATAAATATATCAATATATATAGGCCAGAAATTAACTTTAAACAGCAGTGTTTGGGAGCAAGATTTGCTACATATATAAACAGCAGCCATTTGTAAAATAGAGTGGCTTCTCCCGAATCTTCCACTTTAAGTTTAACAAAATAAAACTTAAACAAGATGGGTGCTATACTGCTATAGTAATTTAAACGAAGTGTCTACTCGGAAGAAGATTTTTCTCCCTAACGTCTCCACTTAGTCGGCAAAAGATAGCTCTGCCCATGCGCAGTGACCTTTGGCTAGGGTTAGGGCTAGAATGAGGGTTAGGGGTAGGATTAGGTTTAGGATTAGGGCTAGGGTTAGGGTTAGGATTAGGGCTAGGGCTGGTGTTAGGGTTCTGCGGTTGTAACCACACGCATGCGCAGTACCATCGAAAACATCGGCGCGAAGGCAAGTCGCAGTTTCTCTCCATTGCGCATGCGTATCGCATGCGTATCTTATTCCGGCTAGCATCGGCCTAATTTAAATGATGATGAAAACATTGCTAATCTTCATTTAATAACATTTATTATGACTGAAAAGTTTTAATTCAATTGTTTAAAATAAAACAAGGAAACATTTTTGTATTTTTCAAAACATAAATCCTCCTCAAATTGTGAAATAATTATTTAAATTTAAGGAGTCACCTGTTTTTCACATTACTAGATTAACTAGATTCTATTCTATAAATAACTTTTTTAGTAAGTTTTACTTTTTGAGTTTCGCCTACCCTTTTTTGATGACAGTCAACCCAATAAGCTGCCGGTTCTCGAAACCTTAAAATACCAGGTTTAGTAATTTTGACGATTTCTCCATCTTCTATCAAACCCGGGCCAAGAATAATCTTTTTGTTACCCTCAGCTTGGCCCAGCTGTAAGACATCTCCGGGCATCACCGTACTACCAACGAGGGTCGACATTTTGTAAACAAACCAGATAACCTACAGTACATTGAAAGAAAATAAGGCCAAACTAAATCAACATCTAGATCTAGATCTATTATTTAGTGACTGGTAGTCTTGAAAGTTAATAATGTCGACGATTTATTCTAAGTTCAAATGTTTTTTAAAAGTATTTAAAACAGCCTGTTTACAAAGTTAGGAAAATATATAGTCTAGTAGTGAAAAATATGATAAAATTGGATTTTTAAATAATTAAGTTAATGTGTAAAGCTAAAAGAAAATATAACAGTAACTTTAATCATACAGTGATTGATAAGTGTATAAACTATAATAGACAATTGACTATAGATCTTAAATCTAGTTGGTTTAGATAAAATATTGTGCTGGGAACATTAATCTCGTAAAAGATTTATGCCGTGATAGAGGGAGGGGTGAAGATGTAAGGATTTTGAGGTTGGGGAATGAGGCTTGTTGAGAAACGTGAAGCAAATAAAGGTAATTTAAAACTAAAATAAAATAAATAACCTAGATAAATGTGATGAAATTATAGAAGTATAGGCTTTGTCAGGCTTTGGATAAAATGACGTCATTTTAAGGGGTGGGGTGGTGCTTTTCTTTTAGCGTGATGTGCAAGAAAAGGTGGAAAACTTTGCCTAATGATGTCATTTTGATCTTGGTATTGGTGATGAACTTACTTGCTTATTTCGACAGTCTTAATGAAATAAATAGTGATTAGTTAATTTCTGGAGCTATTTACAAGCGCATGCATTTTCAAGCTATTAAATTAAAATGAATAAATATGCATAACTGGCAATGTAGAATTAAAAACCAAATACCCTAGACTAAAAGCCCTAATGAAAAAAATTCCAACGAGGTTTTTAATGTGTAATAATCTTTAATTTAGTCAAATTAGAATCTTCAAAAAAATATTTTTTCGAAAACAAGATTATCATACTAAAATTACACAATTTATTTATGTGATTCTCTTTAATATATCTCATTTGGAAATTAAATATTTTTGTAACATTTACGCCCAAGTTGAACTTTTACATTTCTTTCACTCATTACACACATTCGTCTTCACAAAGACCGTGTTGTTGTAAAACAATCAGTCATTTTCTTTTCATTGTTTACACTTTTTACCAACTATTTATCACTCAAACAGTGGTAAATAATTTGCTCTAGGTGATAAATAGTTTGAAAAAAATATATTGGACTAAATGTTTGCTTGCTGTAAGAGGAATAATTATTCTATGTGCATTATTAAATAGCCACAGAACAGCGAAGTAACCGCGCGCACTCAAAATGGCGACGACGTTTGAAAACGTGCGATTTGGAACTTACGGCGAGGATGGAAAATTAAGAGAGATGGTTGATCTTCCTCACAAGATGGAAATAACAGAAGAACAAGAATCACTAGTTGTAAATTTGTACAATGGTAAGCCCATGGTTGTAAATTCTACATCTATTTAAATAAGTAGATTTGGGTCTTGGTAAAATGCGAGACGCGAAAAATGTCGAGGCAAGACATACCTGCGGAATTACTGGAAAATTGCGAAACACAATTTGAGAGACATTTGTTGGTTTCATTATGTTATGGGTAGGAGTAGTCTAGCAGTAGAGAGCTGGACTGCTAACCCGTAACTCTCGAGTTCGAATCCGGGTTCAAGTCAGTAAACCGCCCAGGCCGCTATTATTAGGACCCGGGTCCCTATAGTCTACAGTACAGCCATGGCCGCTCTTCGGCCCGGCATTAAGTTCGTTACGCACTCATACCAGTATTAAAATTATACCTTTTATGTTTGATTTTTCTTGTGGATTTGCTAGTATTTTGTTGTGTTTAATTGTAATTAGCTATCCGACTTTGCTAGCGTTAGTTCTTGTGTCGCTATTTCTAAATACCCTATATTTAGCTCTATACACAAAATCATACAATAATTAAAGGTTATCGTAAGATGTCGTGGCCGAGTGGAGAACGTATTGCCTCCCAAAACTCTGTCATTTATGGGTTTGGAACCTATCTACCTCGGCTAGATGTATACTGTTTGTGAGAAGAAAAGTGTTGACAACTACGTTTAATCTTCTATCTCGATACTTTAGTTGTTTGTTTGGTTGTCTTCTTTTTGTTTTTTTTATAGATTCTATATCTTTTCTAGATTTAGGTTTTAAACACCGCCAATTATAAACATCGTTGCTCAAGTTTTTTTCTCGTCAGCGTCAGAAAAATACCGCCACGGTCTAGCTAGGGTCACTGTGAGTTCAGATTGGTTTAGATGTGAATAGTGTAGGTGTATAGCATATGTCATAGGAAGACCATTGCTATCTGAGATTTGTCATCTTCAAACCCCCTCAACCCAGCAAGAGGAAAAACATATTTGGGGCTATTGAGAGTTCATATGTTATATATTGCTTCTATTGAAGCGTACTGCAACGCATGCGAGAAATTTGTGTTCCAGAATACGGGTCTGGGAGCTGTAGACTGTAGCCTATAATGAGCTGTGTTACACATTTTTTTTTGTAGGCCTTTAAAATCAAATTACGTTTAACAGAAGACAATTTTTTTTACATATCTACTTACGTGCTCAACATTAGCTCAATCAGAGAAGTTCATACCATAGGCCATATATTATAGACATAACGACTCCCGTTCGCAATAACATTTGTCAGGAATGATATCAGGCATTTAAAGCAAGATCTCAATATATCATTTAGAATTACAAGAAAAAAATCACACCAACAGAAAAGATATATTCTGCATCTTAAAAGAATTATTGTTTAACTAAATCTTAAACAATTTTATTGGCTGGTCCGAATAGCTGTCGAGGTTATAAGGACCTGGGTCCCAATAGCTGCAGAGGCTATTGAGACCTGGGTCGGAATGGATGCATCCATTTTAGTTAACTACCAGTAACCTAACACCCCTTTTAAGATTTTATTATTGGACATTTGAATAAAAAATGCCCAAAATCTAGATCAAGGTTAAAAATTATTCAAGAAATGGGCAAATTCTTAATTTCCTTGCTCCAATAATCACTGTGAGTTCATATTGGTTTAGAGATCAGCAGCTGATTTTATAAAATCGACGCTTAAAATTCAAATGGTTTTACCAATATTAAACCTTGGAAATGGTGCTTGTTATTGGCTTGGTAGTATATATTCTGCAAAGTTTGCAGTCTATTTTCACATATTTTTGTCTTTATTTTAGTAAAGTATTTGAATGTCTTTTATTTTATTTTAATTAGGCCTACTTAGTTACATTTTTTAATTTCTGTTTATACTATATCTTTTCTTTTCATTTAATTATTTTCTTTTGAAACCTTTTTATTTTAAATATAGGTAACAATCGTACTAATTGTGTGTTTATTGGAAAAGAAACAGAAGTAGCTAGAATTGGTAACAGTTCATTGGTAGTAACAAATGACAATTCTTCAGTTCTTCTTGCATTCCCTACAATTCACAGTAAGTAGTTCTAATTTACCTTTTATAGGCCTACTTATAAGTTTAAAAAAAATTATAAATTAAAAAATAAATTTAGAGATCAGAATTTTTTAGTATGCAGGCTTTTAATCTTAATTTGGACCTCCTTTTTTTACAGTGATGAGAGCATTCAGACAAAAACTTACCAAGTTAAAAGAAGGGATGAAATCTGTTTTTACAGAAAGAACTGAAGAAGCATCTGCAGTACAGTATTTTCAGGTAGAATTTGAAAAATTAAATGTCTTTTAAATAATTTGGAGTAATTTTTTTTAATTAGCTTGAAACAAATTCTTTATTCCTATTTTTAAAACATTGGTTTTTAAATAAATACAGCCTTTTTTTCAGGTTGTCATGAAAACAAAATTCAGATTTAATATTTGATAAGTTAGCACTCCATTTTAAAACAAAACAGTACTATGTTGTGCTCAATTTGATTTTACAATTTGCATAGTTATCATGTGCAAGTTTTAACTACTATTAACAATGGTTCTTTTACATTAGTGATCAAGTCTGGCATTGTGCTGATCTTTTTTCTTTTTAAAAACTTTGTCCTCCCATTCCTTGCAATACTGATAAATAATTTATATTTACATGCTGCTATGTTATATTCTGTTATTTTTAAGATCTTCCCCTTTGCATGTCCATTACTGTATTTTAACATACAAAAACATTTTAACCTATTTTCAGAACTATTTACGATTAATTCCTAATTCTATCTTCTAGTTCTATGGGTACTTGTCACAGCAGCAAAACATGATGCAAGACTACATTCGTACTTCAACATATCAACGAGCTATGCTAGCTAATATATCAGACTTTCATGACAAGGTAGGCATCTAAGTTTTAACTAGAAATGTTGGTAAATTTTATTTTATATAAGTAGTTTTCCTTAAATGACACCAGTCACTTAGAAATCCTAACCCACGCATAAGTTTTAAAGATTCGCCTCTACAAAATCCTGTTCTATTAAAAACCTAATATTATGAGAAATTTTCTAATATTGAGCAGTTTCTATAGCATATTTTTAATTATACTTGTGTTATTTCTGCAATAACTTATTATCAAGCAATACTTATGTTTTGTTAATTACAGATTGTCCTAGATGTTGGTGCAGGCTCTGGAATACTGTCTTTTTTTGCCATTCAAGCTGGTGCAAAAAAAGTTTATGCTATAGAAGCAAGTAGCATGGCACAGCATTGTGAGGTTTGTACAGTCTTTGCACAATGGCAGTAAAGATAAGTATCTGTTAGCTAATCAGACTTAAGTTTTTGTGAAATCAATGTTTTTCAGACTCTGGTGCGGCAAAACAATTTGAGTGACCGTATTATTGTTATACCTGGGAAAGTAGAAGAAGTAGATGTGCCAGAAGAAGTTGACACCATCATTTCAGAACCTATGGGATACATGCTCTTTAATGAGAGGATGTTAGAGTCATACTTACATGCAAAAAAATGGCTAAAACAAGAAGGTAAAATATTAATATTGCTTTGGGTTTCAGGTGAAATTTTAGTAATTTAAATTTAAAAAGTGAGGAACAACCTATCATTCAAGAATAATGGTATTAAAAGTTTTAATAACTAAATTGATGGTTTTGTTAAAATTAAAATATCTAATGAAAGCTAATTTTAGAAAATGATTAATCTATTTTTTAAGGAAGCTATATAATACGCATCATACAAAAAAATTCTATTTATATTTGTCCCATTAGGTAGAATGTTTCCTACACAGGGAGATCTTCATATAGCACCATTTACAGATGAAGCTTTATACATGGAACAGTATCAGAAGGCTAACTTTTGGTACTCTATCATTTAAACAAAAATACTTTGTGTAATTTAGTGTATTTGTTTATCAACCCTGGTATCATTAGGATGCTGGGCTTAGGTTTTAATTTTATTTTACATTTATCAGTGCATCATTTTAATTATGTATTTAAAGACATTTTTACAAGCAAATTTAATTTGTTTTTATCAGGTATCAAGAATCTTTTCATGGTGTAAATTTAACTTCATTACGTTCTGCTGCTGTAGCTGAATATTTCAAACAACCCATTGTTGTAAGTAGATTAATTAAGCTGTGCCCAAATAGCTACATTTAAAAAATTTCAACCTCATTATTCCTAATGTCTCATTTGATAACTTTTCAATTTCATTTTTCAGGACACATTTGATATCCGTATCTGCTTAGCCAAATCAAATAAGTATGTTATAGATTTTCAGTCAGCTGATGAAACAGACTTACATGTTATGGAGATACCTTTAACTTTCACAATGCTCCAATCTGGCATGGTACATGGTCTTGCTTTCTGGTTTGATTGTGGCTTCTTGGGTTCAGAGTAAGTTCATTGTTTTGATACTATTGCTAGAAAGGTGTAAAGTATGTTCCATTTTTACATTGCATAAATTTACAAAGCTTTAATCCCTGACATTTTGTCTTTGCTGTTATTTCTTTGTCACTTTTTCTCAGTAAATTATGTAATACAGACTTAAAAAGTTTAATAATTACTTAAGTTTAAAAAAATAAATGCCAAGGTATATTCTTACGAGCCTTTACTTTGCTTAATATAGAAATATGTATTGCTAGTTTTTATCAAAACTAATTATCTTTAAGCTACTCTGTATGGTTGAGTACTGCCCCTACTGAACCATTAACTCACTGGTACCAAGTAAGGTGCCTTGTTCAAACACCAGTATTGGTAAAGCAGGGACAAACTCTCACAGGATTGGTCAAACTCACAAGTAACACCAGGTAAATAGTAATTAAAAAAACTACTGTGAAACTAAGATTCACAGAGCAGATAGACTGGTACAATTGTTACTGAAATGACTTGTCTTTTTAAGCTTAGCTAGAACATGCATGTCCAGTTCATGTAGCTCATGACATAAATGTTGAGATATATTGCAGGTACACATAACATGTTGGTTTAATTAATATTCTGATTCTAGTAAATTAATAAATATTTCTATCTACCAGACAAAGCTACGATGTTGATATTGAATTGAATATTCCTGGCACCAACAATAAATCTGTCAACTGTCTTGACCTGAAAAACCCATTCTTTCGTTACACTGGAACAGCTCCAGCTCCACCTCCAGGCTCAAATCAAACATCAGCTACTGATTCATACTGGAACAATTTAATGGCTTCAGGAGACAGTAAGATAATTATTTTTAAACAAAATCTCCCTCGCTTTTATCTATAAATTATATCTAAATATTTGTTTAGAAAGTTTCTGTTAAACTTGTACAGCACACAGTTTTTAATTTGAATAGAAAGTGAGCTATTGCTGTTGTATCATTCTTTTTACTTGCTTGATTTAACAGCACAACAGCAGCAAACATATGTCAATGGATTTGTAAATGGCATTGTTGACGTAGGGCAGGTATTAGTTCAGCAGCCCCATTTACAACAGCAAGGTGTAGTTCAAGGAAATCTCATTGCAATGTGTAAGTCATTTTATTTTTAAGAAAAAAAAAGCCAATACAATTAAAGTGTGTTTTAATTTAACTTCAATTATTTGTTACATGTACATTCTGTGTTTGTATTGAAGGCTTTTGAAAACTGCAGATTATTTTTATATTCATTGTTAAAAAATTAATTTTTGTTGTATTTCTTTGTTTATTCTTTTTACAATTGTCATGCAATCATTTTTCCTCTGTTTAGAATAGATAAATATATAGACGATAAAAACATGTAAAACATCAGTAAATAAAAAGCACACTCACCTAATAGGTTTATTAAAAAGAAACGATTGAACTTTTTGTTATATTGTAGTTATAGTTTCTTTCTGTGAAACTAACAGTTTATGAATATTGTAATTTTGATTTCATCAGGATGATGCACATCATTAAACTCACACCTCAACCTCACTTCACACATCCTCAATAGTTCCTCCTTACTGCCATTTTACAATTGACATTAGTATAAAAAAAAAACCTTATGGTGTCTTTTGAGTAACCCTTAATTTGTAAAGATGTGCGTCTATTAACACAGTGTATACAGTAATTATTGTGCTTAATTCAACTACTCAAAATGGCTAGTTTCTGTTGAACTTGCCAATTCCAACACTTGACTCTGTATTCTTTTCATAACAATGTTTTTCTTTCCTGCCACCTGGAAATATTCAGCTGAAGAGGTCATTTCAAGGTCAGAAGGTAATTGGAAATAAATATAACATTTAATAAACAAATAATTTCAATAGTAATTTTATTTAAAACCAGTCATATTTTTTTTCCATTGACTAACAAGCAATGTTAAGTGAATACATTTCTGACAAACTAATTGCATGATATGACTAATGCCAAGGTTGTCAATAACTCAAATTTTCCAAAGTAAGTTTGCTGGGAAGTTGAAAAAAAATTAGAAATGAGTAACCTTTAAAAAATACTTATAGGCCAATAGAGCAAAAGTTTAACAAAGTACTTTGTTAATATAAATCAGCAATATCATGCTTACAATAAATGTTAATTTGATTTGTTTTTAAGTTGGTTAATACAGAAAACTAAATATGAATACCATTCTTGATAAAGATATGAAATTATATTTAAAGATTTATATACATTATTAGAAAATATATTAACCTATTTTAGCAGAATTGAACTCTATCTAAATGAGTGCTGTAATATTTTTTTAAAAGTAACCAAAGTGCCGTTTAAAATAGTTTTCTACAGCATATTGAAATCAATGTGGTCATTTCAACTCTTTTGGCAGTTCTAATTAAAATGGTTACATTTAGACCTACTACATTTTTTGTATTAATAAAACAAAGCAATTTTATTATTTTAATAATTATGTTTAGTTTAAATAAAATTTTCTGTACCTTGAAATGACCATTATAATTACTCTAAGCAGAGGAGCTAAACTACCACTTATTTTTAAACCACATTTGCAACATCTATTTGTTAAAACATTTTTGGGGTTTCCTCTAGGTGATTTTCTAAAAGAAAATTTCTTTCATTTAATAAATAAATAAAGCATTCCAACATTAACCTTAAAGTGTTTTAACCTTATTTTCATTTTCAACTGGGGTAGAAAATACAAGTTATTAAAGTTAATTTTTCTGTTTTCAACTTTGGCACAGTATAATCACTACAAAATGTAACAATCCTAATTTTTTTGGCTTTACAGCCCAGACAGCACCAATAAATCCAGGTAGTATTCCTAGTGTGGGCATAATCACATCCAATGCCAATGCTCATCGCACATCCATCGGTGCTGGCATAAGTCCCATCAGCTTCTCCTCTCAGGTACTGGTATCTAATTTTCTGCTACTGTGTAGAAATAAAATTATGCTGACCTAATATTTTCCTGTTGTTGTAAGTTGTTAATTTATATGAGAGGTTTGTCCTATTCAACACATAGTATGTTTTAAAATGTGTGTAAAAAGTGCTGTAGAATTTAATATGGATGGATTGTCCATATGGTGTAATATAACAATACTTGTGCCGAGTTTTTAAAAAAATATAACCATCTGGTCTGTAGTGATATTTAAAAAAATACTTTCTACAATGACCTTAAAAATAACAGCCTGGTAAATGTTAAAGTGTAGTGTACTTGTACAAAAAATGCAAGAACTTTAATAATGCTTTTCATTTTTGTCATCTACTTTTATTATGTCTGGGGTTAAAAAAAGACAATTAAAATGTACCTTTTTACATAATTGTCTCAAATAATCTGTTAGTTTTCTAAAGCCTTCTGTTGGTTTCATTGTGTACATTTATCCCATAAGCATGTTGTTTGTTCAACCCGTTGTTTTAATGTTGTAATTTTTTTCTTAATGTATGACACGTGTATCCTCCCTATACTGTAAAGAAAAAAAATTTCTTAATTAAACTAAGTTGAGATAATAAAGGAAATATCATTTAAATAATTTTTTAGCAAGGTGATGCTTCTCATTGTTTTTTTCTCTTTTATACAATCAGGTAACAGCTAATGTTTGTTTCTGTTTTTCAGAATGTTATAACTGGTTCAACAAATCATTTCCCTGTTAGCAGTCAGTTCATGATTGGTGATTATGTGATGCCAGGCAACTTGATAATACAGTCACCAAAGTCAGAAACGTAGCTCAATTGTTTCAAAGGATGACCATGATTTTTCCTTTTAACCTGAACTATTGCAGTGAGAAACAGTGTTTCTAACTTTCCTTTAGGTTGATTTGGTCAACATAGTTAATTGGTCAGTCTTAGCATTGTAATTGTATAAATGATTTATTCAATGTTATTGGTGCTCTTGTCATTTGTAAAATGTATTAATTAAAACAATGTAATATGAATTAAGCATTTAAAACATGTAGCTGATGATTTTTTTTTATTATAACCAATAGCGCCATGAGCAACTATTGTTTGTATTGTTTTTTATCAATGGTAATGATTAATAATTAATGGTATGATTAAAATGTATTTTCTTATTTTGTTTCATCTGTAAAATGTTAATCCTTGTTTTGGCTGTTTTCTAAGTTAAGTTTTAACGCAACAGTTACTAAACATGCTTTTTGATTGAACAAAAGTGTTGAATGGTTCCCTAATTTTTAGACCAATGAAGTCCTTTATCAAATAAACATCTAAAGCTGACTATTAGAGTATGGGCTGTATCAGCCTGGTTAGATTTTGTTTGTCATGCTGACATTGTGAAACAAGACATGCTGGACCACAATATTTGGTGTGTAAATATCACACTGATGTTGTGACAAACAATATTGGTAATTGGTCTAATAAATTTTAAACTAATTTCCTTATTGAGATTACCTTTTCGTAGCAGTTTATTGCTTATTTTCTCAGTAATTTGCCTTCAGTTAATTTCATTTTTTTAAAGTCAGGTGTATGTATATTCTGCTTAGTAAATTGTCAATTTCAGTTTATGAAAGTTATCAATCAATTAAAGTAATTACAGATTTAAAACTAGTTTGTATTTTAGAATAGAAAAAGAAAATACTAGAATTTTAATGTTAATAATATCACTTTCATTAGAGATTCATCCCTATCTGAAATTAAAATTTAATCACTTTTTAAGTGAAAAAAATACTTTCTATAACCATCAGAAAATAAAAGGGGAACATTTTTTGTGCTACAATTCAGTTTTTGACATTTACATATTTTATGAATATCTTTCTCTGTCTTTTTGATTAAAATAACACAAACATATGTGATTTAACATTTAAATAGTAAAAAACTATGATTTGAAGCAATTTAATATTTTAATTGACAGCTTTAGGTAATTTTAAAATTTTGCTTAACCGTTGGCAGTCAGGCCATAAGAAAGTTTTTACAAGTACAGCGAGTTAAAAGACTGCATTTCTCTCAACTACACTTTAAAAAAAAATTTGATAACTAAACAAAATCTTAGATTATTTTGTCTTAATAGTATAATGCATAAATAGTAAATGCAAAACATTGAACAGAGAAAAATGAAAATAAAAAGCCTGAACTATTAAAAATCATTTTGAAAACTAAAGAAAATCAACAGATTCATTGACACTTTTTTGTATATAAATTTTAACTATATTAGAAACCAAAAGAACTAACACAATTTAACAGCAGTTTGAATTATTCCACTGGTATCTTTATATCTCACTACCAGCAAGTTTTCATTTAACTACTCATTCTATTAAATGTACCATACAAAGATCAGTTCTTGGGCTGTACAGTAAGAACCTCAGGCACATAGCTGTAAAGGGTTAAGCACAGCTAAATCTATTAATTCACATTTATGCAACAAAATTGATTTTTTAATTAAAGATGGCGGACAAAATGTTTTCTTTAACATTAAAAAAATACTTGTTTGGATATTCTGTTTTACTGTTTTTAAAATACATTTTCTTTTTTGAAAGTTTCTATTTTATTTCATGTTAACTGCTGCAGTGTATCTTGATTTGCCGGTCTTGACAATGCCTGAGTCCATTTGAGCAAAGTTTTTTTCTTTGCATTAAAAAGAAGCAAATTCTTCCACCTAAATAATCTTAAAACAAGATCTATAACATAATCTTTGGTATTCAGTTGGACAGCTTTAAGTACTAAGTTTTCCAATTATTTCCAGCTCTTTAAAAATGTTACTTTTGATAATTTGTTGTTTACTAAATGGGTAATTACACCAGACTAAAATTAAAATCTGAGGACCTTCTCTTTGGATCTCAAACTATTGAAGCAAGTTAGTCATGTGTGGCAGTATCAATTTCTATTTTAGAAACTAGCTTCATCAGTTAATCCTTTGGTGCAAATTATTCCTATAAGATAATGAAACAAAAAAGACCCAAACAGTGTTAATATATTTAATAGCAAACTACAATTGGTATATACAAAATATTCATTCATAATGAATTTCTAAGGTCTCTGGTAGGGGTGGGGTGTGATAGCAGCTTTGATATTGGTCTTGATTGCACTGGGAGCCCTTCCTATGCCAGATCCAGGCACTGAGGATAAAATAAAAATTTAAGTCACAAATATTTAACTTCAATATAAAATAGAGAGAATATCCCCCTAGAGAGTCAACTGAATAGACACGTCCAGTACCTCCCTAATTAGGTTTCTGAACTTTCAACTTCTGCTTAAAACATACAACCTAAAATGTAATGGCCTAGTTTAAAAAAGAAATAGAAATGTAACATTCATAGCTGCTTATAAACCCACCCATCCCTAGCTTGGGGAATTTTGTAAAAAAATAGGTAGGGTGTGAAGAATTACTGAAGAGAAAAGGTTAACAGGAAATTTTGTGGTACAATGAATATAGAGCAGTAATAGTAAGTAAGCCTCTACAATAAAAGAAGTGTTCATTATATTAATTCACAAAACATGCTCCTTACTCATAGGTTTTTGTGGTTGCATTTGCTGTTGCTGCTGCTGTTGTTGACTTTGCATTTGTCCCATAGGTGGTCCTTGTTGCATTTTTCCTGAGTTATCTAGACGTAGATTAGTTCCCTTTGTTATCATACCGATTAAAAATGCTGTATCTTGTGCAGATGAGGTTTGTGGAGGAGCATTTTTCTGACCTTGAAGACAACAAAAAACAGCCATATCTTGAAAATAGTACCACAATCTAATAACTAACTAAAAAATCAGCAAGATCCTGGTTTGGTTTCTCTCACAGCTAAATATCTCACTACTCACTAGAATCTTTTTCCCACTCATCACTTGAAGCATTTATTATATCTAGAATGTTGCTTGTTATTTTATTCAATGCTGTAAGTTGTTTCTGAAAAGGGAAGAAACAATAAGGTAAACATTAAAATGTAATTAAAACAACACAGAAACAAAATTCATGCTTGTTTTCAGTAGATTTTACAACCTATCATTTGTCTGAAAAAAAGGGGAATTACTGATAAATTATTAACATCTGCAAGCAGCCTTTATATTTGTTTAAAAAAGAATATAGACAACTTTAATCAACTTCAATTAGATCTACCTGTAAAAGACAATTTAAAACAATTTAAAAATGTAACATTAGAAAAAAGATTTTGCTATGCTATGCACTTATTAATTTTGGTTAGTAGTTATTTTGGACTGATTCTATTTAGTATAGACAAAATGCACATGAAAGTTTAATATTGAGAAATAAAAATATAAACAAAAATAATATTCAAGGCTGCATGCAAACAGAAATAACACTGATATTGTGATTGAAAATTTCTTATCTCAAAAAGCTAAAAGAACTTGGACAATCACTTTTATCTGAATTCCATGCTTTTTCTGAAACAAGTAAATAGAGTAAATTACATAGGAAAGGGCCATAACCTTTCATTCAAGTACAAGAATTAGTTTCCTTTTCTACTGATGGTAGAGGGGGGAAAGTTAACATGCACAAATGAACAAGACTGCATAGAAAGAAAGAAAATTAGTTATGCAGGTTAATATGGCATTACCTTACCTGGTTTTAGTAAAGGTTAAGCTATTTTTCTTAAATCTCTTACCTGTGCTACTTCTGGTGTTATAGAAGAAGCTTTGACACTCAACAGCTGTACTTTCTCCTCAACCTCTGGCTCTGGCTTGGTCCTCAAGTAGTCAGGTACAACTTCATGATTGAATGCAAGAACACGACCTTCTGTAAGTTTCTAAAGCAGTAAAAAGAAACATAATTTTATCTTAGAGAAGTCAGTATTCAATATTTTCACCGATCCTAACACTAACACCAGTTACACAACACTAGATGTACTACAACCATTTACTTCAAATCAAGATAATAAAATAAATACATCAGCAACCACAAAATGACAATGTAAACATGTCTGGACTAATTTTTTTTTTGGTATATCCATGGTAGACAATACTAGACAAACAAGTATACTACATTTAGATTGGTAGATTCATTAGCCTGATGTCAACATTCCTAAAATGACATGAGGAGGGAAAATGTAAATAGAAGTTACCTCCAAATGTGGATCTCTGTCAGGTGAAAGTAAAATAGGAAACAAAACATAATTTCTCAACAGTGGCATTTTTTCTGCTTTTAACAGTCTCTTTGTAGTGCTTAAACCAGATGATAAGACACCAAAATGTTCCATCATATTTGGCCTAAATTTAAAAAAAAAAGTTTTTTAAAATCTTTATTTCAAATTAGGAAAACCATAAACCAGAAATTAAAACTATTGAAAATGTAATTATACAAAGTGAAATTGGTAATTGTGAGTAGCTAAAAATTTAAACACAACCCAGCTATTTACCCCATGTTACTGAGATTACTTTTATTTAGGGTTAGGGTTCAGGTGTGTTGTTTCATAGTCCATGTAGATCAAGAAAAATATGCACCAGTAAAGCTAAGCATGTATTAAGTATTTATTCCATAGATGAAATCTGTGTTTATTTAAGCAGGACTGAAAAAGTTATTTCAAAATAATTATTTAACACATCTGATTTACCATGAAATGTTTTGATAATCATTTTCAAGTTTGTAGATGAAGCCTTGTATACTTTGCTTTAGTTCTCTAACACGATGAATAAGATCATCCAATGAAGCATCAAGCTGTTTCTCTTCTTTCTAAAAAAACAATAAAGGCCCATTTGAATAAAGTAGGGATAAGGCTCTAAGTCTAAGTAGTCTAAGTCTAAGACTCTAAGACTAAAACCTGTCTTAATCTTAATGAATCTTATCTTTAAGTGCCGAAGCCAACCTTAAGTTTTTTTGTTTTTTTTTTAACTCACAGACTGTGGGGCTTGCATGCCTGCAGATCTAGATTCTAGAATAGATCTAGATTCTAGGCCTTGACGCTAGATTCTAGGAGATCTAGGTTCTGGATCTAATTAAAATTAAACTCTACTTTTAACTTTTAACGTTCCGAACAAAAGCCTTATCATCTGCCCAAGGCTGCCCAAGCGGAAAAGAAAAATCAATATTATAATGCAGGAACGCCAGATAAATATTTATAAAATAAGTAGAATTTAAAAATGTAGCTTTGTAAAGAGCTACATTTGAAAACTTAAAGACCATTAGTAGACTATATGTTTTTATTAACTTTAAAAATGGTCAACACTTTGCTTTTTAGATGTATCATAATCAGTATACCCCAGTCCCCATTATATTGATCACATATTATTACAATTAAAAAAAATATTTTGAAAACGAAAAATAGGCCTGTCCTATTGGCTAAAATTTAGTTACGAACATACTAATATCGCATTTTAAAATGCAAAAAATGTGTTGTCACACTCTCTACGCCGTTCACCATCGTCACAAATTCCACCCCCCCCCCCCCCCCCCCATAAAAATAAGAAAAAGAACTTTAATAAATTCTTAGGTAGAAAGTCTCGTCGCTTCTAGATTTACAGTTTTGTGTTAATATTATCAACCCCCCCCCCCCCCTTTGCGGATCAAAACACTAGTTGTTGGTGACTTTGTGAGTCCTTATTTCAACAAATGAATCATTTTACGGACCTGATTGAGGATCAGCAAGTAATGACATCACACTAGTGGTTTCGACCACCGGATCTCGAAGTACGAACTTTTGCATGCGTGATCAGAGTGTCTTCCAGAATTTTTTTCTCGGGGGTGGGGGGCTTGCAATTTACGGGGGGAGGGGCGGACTAAAGTTTCCGGGGAGGTGGACACTGGTAAAAGTATATATTTTCTATATAAATTCCATTTCGTTCGGGAGGGAGGGGGGGGGGGGGCGATAGACTTTCTTCAGATGTCAGGAAGAAACACAGTGCGTGATGATAACCATCGGGGTTTATTAAATTAGGACATCGATCTATTCTAAACATTTTTATAAAAGAAACTCAAATATCTTAATAAGAAAATTAATAAAAGGTAAATTCAAAGCTTTTTTTATAAGATTAAGAATATTGTGTAATAACCTGGGACTAAGTCTATTTAGGGAAGTGGCATTGCCTGAGGTCTTGCCTAAAATAAAGTTACAATATGGGCTAATACAACGGCTACTAGAACTAATATTTCCGGCTTTTACCACGCATGCCCAGTGCGGTCTTCCCGAAGATTAATTTGACCTATATTTCAAACAACCGCTAAGACGCCATCTTTTTCAGTTTGTTGTTTTGTGAAATCACTGGTATGTGTGCTATTACGTTAAGAAGTTTTTATAAAATTTAAACAAATAATAGGACAAACACAGTGCGATAGTCTAACAGTTAACGGTATTGAAAGGCGAGCTATCGACATAAACAAGTTTGATTGGCGAACTTGATTCTTTGTTTTCATTGGTGGGAATGACATAGCACCTGATGAGACGATTGGATTGGGCTGTAGCCTATTAAAGAATCTCACCAATTTATTGGTCCGAACAATAATTTTCTACTGAAAGTTATTGGGCCGCTCTAAACCAGGGCCACTATTTATTGGGATAGAATACCAGATCTAGAGAATCTAGGCCCCTATATCTAGCATCTAGTTCTCTACTTCTAAAATCTAGTCTAGTTTCCATTTCGATTTAAACCCATGATTTTACATAGGCTGATAACTGATTTTCCTGATGCTCCACCAACTTACCACTCCACTTCACCTTTTTAAAATACGTGGCCCAGTCTTATTTTCAAGCCCTAGGCCTACAAATTATTAATAAAATAATAATAAAACTTCGGCCCTAATTATTACTAATTAATAATTATTACAATTAGGCGCCTATATATATATATGACTTAATAATTAAAAAAAAATTATGGGGATTGGCTAACTAACACCATTTACTATATTACATAAGTCAATATCTATATAATATATATTATATATAGGCCTATATATTATATATATATATACACTAACTCAGCATATAGAATATAGTACATAAGCCATTAGCAGTCATTTTACATTACCTATCACTTTTGAATTTCCACTAGTCTTATTAAGTCTTATAAGACTTATAGTAATATATACTAGGCCTAGATCTAATACACATTAAATCTCAGTAGGCCTATTTCAAATAAGATAGACTACTACTATTGCTTTTTGAAGCTTTTTCTGAAAAAGCTAGACCCCCTCCACCCACAACATGGCATCACACTTAGATCTAAATTTTAAATGATTTAAGCCTTACTTGTCTCTCTAAATTGCAATTTTTGTGTTTTGAAATTGAAATATCTTAATAATATATTATTGATAATTAGGCCTAATTAGCCTATACATTTCAATTTTATTACATGATTTTATTTTCAACTAGATCTAAGAAAAATATAGAAAAAGACTTTTCCTCCTACATTTCTTAGGCCCAATAGCTTTCTTTTTTTAAAAGTTTAATTTTGTTAATTTACATTCAAATTTAAATACAGTACTTATTGTTTTTCAGTTAAAAATAAACAGTTCATACAAATTACAAAATGTCTGGTGACCAAAGTTATGTTTTACAAAGTGGAATATCTGATCAAGCTCAACAAATGCTTGCAAACTTCTGGCCAAATGTCATTGAAAATATAAAGCAGCTTAGTGCGGTAAGTCTATAATAGTATAATTACATGTTTAGAATTTATCTTTGTATTTAACTGTTCATTTTGGTAAATAAAATAATAAAAGGTTAACATTGTATTCAACATAAACATATTGAATTGAATGCATATGCCTACATATATGCCTTTTTCTGTAATGGGTGTCACAAAGCAGCAATATATTAGTGTTATGTTGCATATTTTTTATCATATCATAATTAATAAATGAAAAAGATTTGTGAATAAGTATACAAAAAAAATCATTAAATGCACTAAGTAAAGATTACCCAGTTCACCAGTTATAATAATAACATCATGCAAGAGATTTCCGCCTCAATCTGAAACAATAAAAAATAGTATGGCATTTTATGGGCACATTTACATTTCACTGACATAATTCTAAGTTGGCATTAATTTGTTTTAAATTTTGACAGAATGATTACAAAACTCAAGAGCTACCCCTGGCCAGGATAAAAAAGATAATGAAGCTTGATGAGGATGTGAAGGTGTCAATATTGTTATGAACATTTTCCAAACACTTATTTTAGGCTTACACATTCTACCTACATTTGTAATTTATCATGTGAATTCTTTAAACTCAGTTAACATGTTCCAGGGCCTGTTAAGGTGTTTATTCTTTAATCTATAGTTTATAAAAATCTCTAATTAAAACATCTAATTGCTAAACCTAGGACACACTGCCTTAGCATAGACAAACTAAACTAAATAACAATCAAATTGTTTTAACAGATGATTAGTGCTGAAGCTCCAGTTTTATTTGCCAAGGCCGCTGAAATATTTGTCAGTGAGCTCTCCTTAAGAGCTTGGATCCACACAGAAGATAATAAGCGTAGGACATTACAGGTAGATTCATTAAAATTTCTTATTATCCTTAGTGTTCCTTCTGGCATGCTAAATTTAACGTAAAAAGTATCGTTGGTAAGAAAGTATATATTGCAAAATCATCTATTTTATAGATTTACAAACAGGTTGTAAAAAATCATTTAGATTTTAATTGTAATTTTGTTTAACGTTGTTTTATTTTAGCGTAATGACATTGCAATGGCTATCTCAAAGTTTGACCAGTTTGACTTCCTGATAGACATTGTACCGAGAGAAGAACTTAAGCCTAGTAAACGCCAGGTAAGCAAAAAATATTTTAAGAATTTAACAATTCTTTAGGACTTTTAAAATAATTAAATTATTTCATTGTATACAAAATGTTCATTCTTTAATTTACTGACACTCTAGAATAATCATATTATATTTTTAATGAATTATTTTTATTTTGTTAAAGGAGGACCTAAACAGAACAGGAAGTAGTTTGCCAGACCAGATTCAGTTCTATCTCCAGTTAGCACAACAACAGTCACAACAAGCACAGCAAACACAGGTTGTCCAGCAGCAAACTCAACAGCAGGCCCAGGTAATTTAATTTGCCATTTAAAACTGAAGGGTGTCATCTTGTTTATATTCAAAGTATTGCTATTTTATTTGAAAAATAGAATTGTAAGAGTTGATTAAATTCCTACAACTGGATACTTCAAGGTACTAAAACCTGGTGCTTGTTTGTGTTGCAGGTTCAGGTGACACAGGCAACATCATTACAGCAGATCCAACACACACCAGTACAGCAGACATCAGCATCAGCCACTACAAACCAAAGCACAGCAGTTCAGCTACCAAGTAAATATTTCCTTTTTATTGATCTAGCTTGTTCTTTGCCCTCCATGATGCTGAAGTCACTATATTTAATTGTTGGCCATCGGGTCATTATTCTTAAAAACTCCATCACCTAGGGCAGCAGTTAACCTTTTTATCAAATAAACATCAATTTACTTTTATTAAATTCTAACAATATAAATTATAATTTTCTTTTTAAAACAGGTGGTCAAATTATTCAACAACAGTTCCAGTTACAAGTATGTAAACATTTAAGCTTCACATGTTATAATCAGATAGTTGAACTAAATTCGTATAAACTTCAAGAAAATTACATAGTTGAGCAGTAGTAGTGTGCACAATTTCTAATCCTTAAGTCTTGAAATCTTTTCACTGACTTAAGTCCACCCAGCTCTGATGGGTACCTGGGGGTAGTAAAGGTGGCTGGGCATAGTGCTTACCACTATTCCTTCATATAATGAGGTAAGAGAAACAGGTAAACTCTACTTCTTGTTCCCAATGAACTGGCTTTCCTGAAAGGCTGGTTCTGCAAGGAAACATTTCATTTAAATCTTCATTAAGAAAAAATTAAATAATTAGACAAAAAGATTTTGTGTATAAAAAAGATTGATTTGTGTACAATAGATTACAGTTTATAAACCAGATTAAATTTTCTTGCTTTTCAGTCTCCACAAGCACAAGTTATACAACTTCCACAAGTTTCTCAGCAAGTTGTCTCCCCTATCCAGAACTCTGTTATGCAACAGCTCCAGCAACAACAGCACTCACAACAGCTTCAAACACAAGCTCAAGCACAGCAGCAACAGCCAACAGCACAAGTCTACCAGCAGGTTATCAATGCCTCTGGCCAACTCGAAAATATTCCTGTAAGGTCAATTTCTTTTTAAATGACAAGCTAAATGGTCACTTGCTAGTTTACAGTTGAAGCTTATTCATTGATACTTGATTGTTTTCAGATTCAGTTAACTCCACAACAGTTACAAAGCTTACAGTTGCAGCTACAAAGTAAAATTGCTGGCCAGCAAATAGTTGTTCAAGCCCAGCAAGACCCCAATGTTCAGTTTTCACAAGCCCAGGTAAGTTCAGTCTTACGAACTTTAACCATCTGTTATTATTTGTTTTCAAGATTCCGCTGTTACAGGTAAGTTAGGTTGTATTTACTGGTAAGGGAGCTCATTTGTCTAAAAAAATCATTCATATTTCTTTTGCTGTTTTTTTTTAATTCCTTATGCTTATAAAAATTATCTATATATATATAGATAAATTTAGACTGAGATTGAGATAAAAAAAAGTTATAAAAAGTTATAAAATATGAGACATTGTTTTATTTCATGTGTATTTTTGGGTCACATTATGAATTATTATGAATTAGCAATACATTGGTTTTTATACTGATAGTTAAATAGTTATCTAATTCTGTGACAACACAGACATTTTTTATAAGATTTAAAAAATCTTCAATAAATGCATTTTAATCTTCACCTAATCATAGTGCACACTTCTGAAAAAAATGAGAGCATGTAAAATTGTTTATTTACAGCAAATTTATCAACTTCAGCAAGCAGGACAGCAGCAAATATTTATACATTCAGATGAGCAGGCAGATGGTGGAGCAGATTCTTAAAAAATGTTGTGACCGTTATGCAAGTTAATGTGATTTTGAAAAAAAATACAAGTTATGAATAGGCTGTAAAGTGTTGGGTACCATATACTGACAAATGAAGAGGACCTATTTAAAGTTTAGTTTCAATAAATGAAATGCTTGTGGACAAGTGGAACAGTCTTCCTGAATAATTTATTTAGCTAATTTCTTCCTAAAAATATTTATGCACTCGCTTTCAATGGAAAGATTTAGCCTTATAAAAATTGTTATAAAATAATTTTATAAGACTGTTAAAAATGGGTAGATCAAGATGTTTCGTTACAAGAAAACGTTTAAAAATATATTTCCTATACTACTTTGTTAATTTCTTCATTTTGTAAAATAGTCATAATGTAAGCTCCAATGTTGTAAATTTAATAATTGAATAAACGCTTGAATTTTAATTGTTGTATGCATTCCATGTTTTTTCATATTAAAGTCCAGTGATAATTATCTAATAACGGTTTTGTCAGAAACTGTGCACAGAATAATTAAAAAAAAATGCATTTATGTCAATAAACCATTATTAAATATCAGTGCTTATAACAATTTTAAAATACTTATCTTTTTACTTCGCCATGGTTTTTTTAATACTGCCTATTTACATTCAAGACATCCATTTAGTGGTAGATAAGTATAAAGATTGAATGAGAGAAAACACAGTTATTTCAGCAAACATCTTTAATGAACAGTTAAATAAGCAATCCCAGATTTCCAGCAATAATAAAAAGACAAATACTCTACTGAACTTCACACAAACCAATGAACAAAGCCACGCAAGGCGAGTATTAATGAGACAATTTTAATAATCGTGTATAATAAATAGACAAAGACTTGTGTCAGACTAGTTGGAGCTGTGTTTATCCTTAATAACCTCAACTAATTTCAATTACTGAGACTAACTGTATAACCAGGAAAAACATAATTGCTACTAAATACATCATCCATTGAAGATAAACAATACTCTTCATATTGATAAATAGATAGATCTAGAATATAATAAATTAACACAGTGCCAACAAACACTTCACACTTAATGGAAGTAAAAGTCTTGAGAATTTAATCATTTACTTCCATTTAGCTTTAAAATCAAATAGGCTTTTTTAATTTTGCTTTAATCTAGAGATATCATAATTGCAGATTGTGCATTAATCTTTTTAATAGCAGCTTGTGTATTAATCTTTTCTTAGACATTTCTACATTGCAGTGGTGCTCAGTACTTTATAAAAAACCAACACAGGAAATGTAGTGTTCTTATTAATTGAAACTTGTTAATTAAATGTTACTTGAATAAGAAATGTTATAACTCTGTTATAAAAAAATACTAATATCACCTGATCATTTTTTTATTGTGTTGGCTGTAAATGATCTTATGAAATGTTTGACATCCAAATGAGTGCATTCAAGTCATCACTGGTAATAACATCGGGATCAGGTGCAACGACAGTTGGACACCCATGTCTATCAGAAACTCTAAAGTTCATGTCCTGCATTGTTAAGGATCGTTTGAGAGAATCAGGAATAGGCAACAACGCTGCATGATCTTGTAGGTTTGGGGCCATGGCTTGCCTGATGACAAGCAAACAAAACAGTTTGAGCGTTGGTGGCTGCACGTCTACCTCAATGTTGTTGTCCAAGGGTAGCGGGACATCTTTCGTCACCTGGCCACCTGCTTTGATGAGTGACTGCAGGGTTTGCATTTCACAGTGGACAGCTGCCTGGTATACAGGTGACTTACCTGGGAAAACAAAGTCATTTGGTTCATTACCACACCATTAGGCTAATTAAAACAAACACTTACCCAAGTCAAATGGTTATTTTTTTTTTCCAAAGTAAATTCTTCTAAATTTCCAGTACTATTATGTTAGCATAGTTACTTTATAAATTAAAAAGAAACTTTTTGAGTGACAAATGGAAAAATAAATCTGTAAAACACTTTTTGTACAGTTAATTAGATAAAACAGCCTAAAATTATATAAATGCTAATACAAAAAAAGTGTCAATGAAATATATGAGAAAATGTATCTGCTAACTTAGACAACTGATTTACTTTAAAAAAAAGGAAAATGGTACAGGCAAATCTGCAAAAACTCTGTGATTATTTAGATAAACATCCACTTTGAACAATTAGAGTTCATTTGATAATAGTTGTATTTGTTTATTTAAATGCTCCAATTCCCTTTTGGGCAGAGATTGTGGCATCAGACTGGGCCAACATGATTATGGTTGATCTTAAACATTTATAGATTTTTAAAAATATTTCAACATTAGAGCCATTTACAATGACTTGTTAAAATACAGTCAAAATAAATAGTGTGGTATACCTGATAAGTTTTTTGCATTAACATTAGCTCCAGCTTTGATGAGGTGATAGGCAGCATACCCCTGGTTATAGTACACTGCTGTGTGAAGGGGGGTGGCACCATAGATGTTTGTTCCTTCAATTGGTACTCCCCTTTTTAATAAAAGCTAAAACAAGATTTCATATAATCTATTTTAATTACCAATACAAAGCATGGCTTCAAAATATTTTTAAAAAAAGGCTTTAAATATGAAATTTTCTTCTAGACAAATATATTAATAGCGGCTTTTGTGCCTTAAAAAATATATATTCTAAATTAACAAATAAAATGGCCCAAATATACTTTATATTACTTAAACTTTTAAACTTGACATTGTTCAAATAAAATATATATTTAATGGTGCTTCGCTAACTTCATCAAACAAACTATACTTTTATACTACTTTAGCTACATCAAAAAATAAAATACATTTTTAAAAAAAGCTTACATTTATGATGTCCACATTTCCCTTGCTGCAGGCTATGTGTAGAGTGCTGTCTAACTGAGAGACAGTGACATCACAGGGGTTGGCACCTTTGTCCAAGAACAGCTGCACTATTTCAATGTAGCCATAGCAGACAGCTGTATGCAGGGGAGTCCAGCCATCATGGTCCAGCTGGGACATGATGTCAGCACCTTCCTCCACCAGTAACCTGCACACGTCTTTATGGCCAAGGCAAGAGGCTGTGTGAAGGGGAGTGAACCCATCTGTTTGTGTTGCATTCACTGAGGCACCTGCTTCTATCATCCACTTCAAAAGAAATGCATTTATATTTAACATATTAGGCAATACAATTTTTTGTTTTGTTAGTCAGGAGTTATCATTAAATCAAACAAATAAGTGATACATTAATTTTAAACATTTTTGTTTGGACCAAAAATAGTACCAAATAGAAAAATATAATTTTCTGCTCGATAAAACAAGACTTATCAATTAATTTAACCTTTAAAGTGCACCAAGCCATGATTGTGTCTTTGCTGTTACATAACTTATAACATGTAAGGCCACGTGGCACGCGCTTTAAGGGTTAAAAATAAAAACTGGATAAATTAAAAAAAGAAAAATAATCCTTTTTAAAGTAACATGCAGTGCAAAGAAAATATCAACCTGAACTGTCTATAAATAACAGTATTCTCTTAAAAGAAAATTATTATTTTACCCTGATCATGTGAGCTTGACCATACATGGCAACCCAGTGCAGAGGTGTTCTGTGATCACTGTCATGCTGGTTAATGTGGGCTCCTCTCTGCACTAGAAGCTGCAGGGCACTCAAGTGTCCTTTGGATGCTGCAATGTGAATGGGGCGCCTTTCCCACAAAAGGTCATCGCTGTTTGGTGTATTAGGGTCAGCTCCCGCATCTAGCAGCAAGTTCAAAATCTCAACGTTTCCCATGGCGGCCGCACGGCAGATGGGACTTATCATCTGCACATTGAAATTCGGATTCAGCTTTTTTTTAAGCAGCAAGTCTCGACAAGTGTCCACGTCGTTATTGTGTATTGCATCCACAAGTCTGACCCGGTGATCAGCTGACCCAACCATGTGCACATGGACAGAGTTTGAGTATTCAATATCAAATGGTGCTGACCAATCAAATTTAAAGGAAATGGCACGGAACAGAGGCACTGGTCTGTCTGTCAATATCTGTGCCTCAGGTGGTGGCTTGACGTCACTTTTACCAGGTATGCCATCTGTCAGTGCAGAGACCGCATAATACCGGTCACTTTTGTTGTACTGTTGCTCAGCGTATGACGTATTTTCCGCTGATTCCTGCAGGTTAAACTGCAGGTCCAAATCGTGGCTGTGAGCCTCGACAGGAGAGTCATCACCCACTGCCACCTGACTTTCCTGTTTGTAAGGTGGATAAAATCTTTCAAACTGCTCTTCATCGCTGAAGTCATTATCTCTTGAGTTAGACCTGAGATTTTGCTTATGACTGGGATTCATATTTTCAAATGTCACTTGACCTGAAAATTTAAAAGTACACTTTTAAATAATACAATATATTTTCTCATCTCATAAACATTATTTATCAATGTAACTGATTAAAAAATCATACTCAGTCTTTTAAAATTGCTTAATACAATATATTTTCTCATCTCATAAACATTATTTATCAATGTAACTGATTAAAAAATCATACTCAGTCTTAAATGCGTTTATCATCCTCCATTTAACAGAAATGTACACACTAGTGTTTGAATCCGAGGTATTTGAATGCCTCATTTAATGGTGGCTGAAGTTCTGTTTCCAACTCAGCACAAAACAGATTTTTATCATCTGGAACAAATGTATGTAATCTAATTAAATACAAAAATAATAGATATCTCTATCTCTCAAAATAAAATTGATTAAAATATCATGTCAAGTGTCTCTCTTGCATGGTAATATAAAGTTATATGACCCCAAAAGTGACATCACCACATTTTCAAATAGCAATTGTTGTAGCTATGATGTAAACTGATATCTTACCAAAGTGAACTCACATTGACTCCTTGACCATGTAGATTGCAGATCTAGAGATTTTTCTCCTATTATCAAGAAATAGTGTAAATATACAAGACAACAAAACAAAAAAAATGTCTAGCAGTTTTGTCTTGTTATTTAATATAAATTGTGTAGGCCCCTAACTATTAGATTGAAATTACAATTTTGTAGTTGTTTTTTAACATACACAAATTTCAGTTATTTGTTGTTTCTATTCAATGTATGATTGTAAGAGATTGTAAGCTGTTTTAGGGTTATACTCGTATTTTTTATATTCTAGCCTAACGAGTTATTTACTACAGTTAGTAGCCTAACTAATTTAAATTTAGAATAATCTGGTACGTAAAATCGGCTGAGGCTATTAATGTGAAAAAAGGTGATTCATTAAATTTTAGTAAATGTTACTCATTCTTAGGAGGATTTAGATCTATGTTTTGAAAGTTACAAAAATGTTTCCATGTTTCATTCATGCAACCTAGCTCAGTTACATTAGCAGTCATCTTGTTTAACTTTTTTTGGTAGCATTCTAGCTAGAGATTCAGGGGAAACCACTCTAAGTTATAGATGGCCGCTGTTTATATATATTATAGGCCTATATAGAATATTGATCTATAGTAATAGTAATAGCAAATCTTGCTAGCAAAAACTGCTGTTTAAAGTTAATTTCTAGCCTATATTTTTATATTTAGCAATTGATTTTGGTTAATTATTCAGTTAGGCCTATCTATTATATTTAACACACATATATCAAAATATAGTAGATCTATATAATCTACTTGTATTAAAGCCAAAACAATGAGGGAACTTTCTTTTACATTTCTAGCCTCTGCCGAATAAGTAAGTGTAAGTAGTAAGTACTTAAACTAGATCTCTAACTCTGTCCAGAGACCCACTAGGCTAGATCTAGTAGGAGTAGATTGTGACTGGAGTAGATTGTGACTAAGGTAGAAGTAGTCAGTAGATTCTAGAATCTAGCTAGTCTAGATCTAATTCTAGTCTAGATCGTTCAGTAGATGGCTAGTGGCTAGATAAAAGATATACACTGCTAGAGTTAAAGAAGCAGTGATGAGTGAGTTAGATTCTGCTACTGAACTGCTAGGAAGCTCGAGTCTGTAGGTAGGGCACAGTGTAGGCCCATGTTCTAAAAATCTAATTCTATTCTTAATATAAATTGTTGTTTTTAAATAGATCTAAATAGTATAGTTATAGAAACATACTAAATTTAAAGCCGTTCCAATAACGTCATCGGTGTCATTGAAAACGAATACGCAATGACTACAAATAAAACAGTTGCCTAACTTGTAAACACAATTACTTTTTACTAGCAGTCAACTTTAATTTATTCGCTATGTTTCCGATTACTTTTTTTTCCCCCGAACGAAAAGAAAGTGGTCTAAGCACCGACAGTCTTAAAAATGTAAAATAAAGAAATAAACTGTTAGTGTTACACAAAAAAACAAAAAAAAACAAAAAAAAAAACAAAAAAAAAACAAAAAAAAAACAAACAAACTAACAAAAACACAATGTTTGTAAAAAACCTAAATAGGATTAGCCTATAGGCCTATAGTATAACAATTGTATTCGTTTTAGGCTAATACAGATAATACTCTTATAAATAGATCTACATACAGTAAAATATTACTTTGATAAAACCATGCAAAGAGCACTCGTAGTCGCATACAACAAACAAGGGGTTCTTTCGATGCATTTAACTTATTTCTCTAATTTAAAGTACTCTAAAAATACAGCCTGGACCAGACTAAATAAGTATATTCATAGACTACCTGTATTCATTATATGAGATCCGAATTCTTTAAAAATGTCGCCCTCATCACACATATCGTTACAAAACTAAGAACCTCCTCTCCCCCTAGGAGTGACGACATACATGCTTTAGAGAACACAATATATATTTAAAGTCTATTGGCCTATTTACATATAGCCTATCTCTCTCTCTCTCTCTCTATATATATATATATATATATTCGTATAGGCCAGGGGTCGGCAACCTGCGGCTCGCGAAATATGATGGTAACACCACCTTTCGGATTATCCTTTGTACACTCCCGTCATCTACAGTCGCATGGACCCCATTGTTCACCTTATAAGGATAGCAACTAACATTGTCTCTTGGCGTTCCACCTTATTGCACGTGGGCGATGATGCGACGGCTTTTGACTTGGTTCTTTGATGATTGTCTCACCTCTTTGACATAGAAGGAGCAATAAAAGACAGTAGTGACCGCATTTCGCAATATTTAGGTGTAGATCCTTTGTGTTTAAGACACTCCCGTAATCTTCAATCGCTTGGACCCTATGGTTCACCTAATAAGGATAGCAACTAGCATCGTCTCCTCTATTGAATGTTTCATCTTATTTCATGCCTTGTTTCGATGGTTGTCAAGATAGAAGCTATGCGGTAACATATATTTTGCGATATTAGTATTTTTTATGCTCTCGGCCTTATGGCTGTCGACCTTATGTCCTGTCGGCCTTATGTCTTGTCGGCCTTTTGTCTTGTCGGCCTTTTGGCTGTCGGCCTTTTGTCCTACACCCAACCTAAAGCTCTTTTGTTCTGATCCAGGTCTCCAGTCTTTCGTGCGTCCCTGAGTTCACCCAGGCCTGATGGGTATCCGACTCACGTTCGGGAAACAAAGGCTGGTGGGCATAGTGTTGACCATAAAATCCCCATAAATGACGAGGTCATTGAATCAAATGAATTCTAATACATCTGCCCCGTTGGTCTTGAACACAAACGGGAAAAGATAGATCTATAAATATATGTGAGTAGGCCCTATATATATATATATATATATATATATATATATATATATATATATATATATATATATATATATATATATATATATATATATATATATATATATATAATATATAATTGCCTCTAATTTTGCGTAGCCGAAAGTAAAAAAAAAATGCGACGTGATTTGAACACGCAACCTTCTGATCTGGAGTCAGACGCGCTACCGTTGCGCCACAGAGCCATCTGGTAGCATTAAACAGCGTGCTCTTCAAAAACATTTCTCTGGCGTAGCTAACCTTAGGGAGTTTGAAGCAACACTACCGAAATCAACGAAACAGCTTGCTGAGCTAAACCATCTACTAGGGCTTCCCTGGGATTTACTTCTGAAACCAACAGCACTTTCGGTTTTATAATCTTTTATGTCGCAGGTGTTTCTGTGGTAAAATTTTGATTGATTAAACCCATTTAGAGCATATACGAGTGCGTCTTCTTTTAAACATAGTATAGAAACTGCCCATATATTAATAATAGGCCTAATAGGCCTAATACTAATAATATTTAAAGCATTCAAAATGTCTGGATTATTTTACGCAATTAATTAAAATAAAATGAACGGCCTTGTCGAATAATAGAGCTTACGACTGTTAAACTCAAAAGTCTGGAGTTCGGACCACAGCCAGGCCTGAGTCTGTAGTACGTCACTGAGTCCATACAGCTCTAATGGGTACCTGACTTAAGTTAGACAAACAAAGGCGGCTGGTCATATAGTGCGGACACAATTATCTCGTTGTATGCCGAGGTAATTGAAACAGATTAGCTCTACTTTATCTGGCCCATGTATCTTGGACATGAACAGGAAACCATGACGTTGCAACCAGAAGGACAACAGAAAAATTAAAAAAAAAAAACACCAAGCAAGAAAAAAAACATCAAGCATAAAAATTTAATTTAAAAACAATACACATCTTCTATAAAATGGTAATAATAATAATAATAAACGGAGAATCGGTGGACAAAAATATTTCAATATAATAACATTTCCTCAAAGTTTGGCGAAATAACGTATAAAATGCATTTGAATACAATTGAATTAACAAACAATTATTTATAAAAAAAATTAAATATTATTCACTGGCTATAAAACTAACTGTTGTATTTGATCGAAGAATTGTGTCAAATAGACACATACAAAAATACAACGTACATTCATTCTAATACATTCTCTAAAACAAAACATAAAGTTGTCAAAATAAGAATTAAAACAAAAATTAACATTGAGGTTAAACGTGGAGGTAGTATGTTTATAATTTGTTTTTTTAAATATTTTAAATAAATATCAAAATATGGATTGTCATAGTTATTTAATCACAAAACTTGTTTATATGTTTAAATTAAACAAAAAATGTGAAATTAGTGAAAGTGCTTTCTGATATAAAAGTTAACCAATAACCAATATTTATAATACGACGACTTTGTTCAATAGCACATGGATCTTGTTGTTTGATACAACGACTTCACAATTAAAATATAAATACAATAAAATAATTATATGCACAGAAAACATTCATCACAAATATTATCACAGTGTATTTTTAAAATATTAATAAGTTAAGTTTAAGTAATTTTTTATACAACCCCAATATCTAATAAAATGTATTATTATTATTTTTTATACATTTTTATTGAAAATAAAATGGTATATGATCCTAAACTAATAACTTTTTAACTGAAACGCTTTAAAAATAGTAGATACACTTTTGTTGTATTTATAAACCGAGGCGTCACGAGGCGCGGTTGCTGGGGTGTCACCCCACCTTCTACAAAAAACATTAGCATTTTCGGTTTGGTGTCACCCTTCTCTCCTATCTATTTTATTATTTAACTGGATAAAACACATATTTTAAATTTTAAGATTTTTCAGTTTAGGTGTCACCACCTTCATGGAGTCATCTGGTGCGGACGCACTTCCGACCCCGTCTTGTGACGCTTTTGTTTACTTAAAATAACAGTAAATGCAATTTTCATGTACTTAATTACATTTGAACAACGAAAGTTGCATTGAAATTCAAATATTAAATGTAGAATAGAATAAATCTTTAATAAACTAAAACGAAGTTGTTTTTTTTTACCATTTTTATAGTACTATTCTTACATTTTGATTTCTTAGCGTAAGTAAACACATACATAAGCAGCAAAATAGTTTAGAAATATTTTCTTAAAATTCAATTTGCAACATGTGCTATAGAAACATGAGATAATCTTTTTTTTTAATCTCTAAATTATCTTTTATTAATCAACAGTGACAGAAAAGTAAAATTGAATTTATAATTAGGTAAATGAAATGTAGGGGAAAATATTTTTTTTAAGATTATAATCACACCTACCATGACACAGTTTATTGATAAAAGGTAAATATAAACTAATTACTAAAATTTTGATTAATGGGGTTTTGCTAATATTGATAAAAATAAATGAATATCAACTTTCTCTTTCTTGGTCGCCTGATTCATAGCCATGTTGATTACATCATCGGGAATTCCAAGCTGATAAGTTTCATTGTACATTCTGGCCCATGCTGACACTTCTTTGTAAGGAAGTTGCCCTGTCGAGTGTCAGATTTTTTTGGATTGATTAGGGTAAACTAAAAACAATAATATAACTCTATAACAAAATAGTTCTACTGTATTTTTTAAAAAAAAATATACAAAAATTTCACAATCCGATTAACAGATATTTTCTTTTTTTTAAAATTATTGTATGATAGATAATATTGATTGAGTTAATATAGTTTCTAAGTTTTGTAGCGTATATTTTCTAAAATTACAGACTTACCTTCAAATTTTTCATCACGTTTGTAAAGAGCATCTGCAAACTGCATAAAACTTTTAAACCACGGCACTTCTTCCTTTTTAATAGACAAAGGTAACCGCGAACTCTGAAAAAAAAAAACAAAACAAATAATCGCTTTAGCCCATTTAATGAGATTCAGCAACTATTCAAATTAAAGAATTTATAACAATGATTTTCCTAACACTAAATATAATCGACTGTCAGTTTGGTAACTTTTAAATTCCTTTCTGGAACAACATTGTTGAGTATTACTGGATTGAAAATAATAACAACAAACTCTGGAAAGATTATTATCACATATAAATATATAAATATAATTCGCTTACATTTATAATCAAAACAAAAACTCATTAGAATCTACAGAATAACATTATAAATTGCTGCGAGTTGTCTACCATTAATAACATTTATACATTAAAAAATAAAATAGAAAATTAATTTTCATAAGTTTGTTATAGTCTTTTCCATTTTTATCATTTTCTGAGCATGTTAAAATATTGAGCGAGAAGTGCTACTCACATCATAATTTCTTTCAAGGCTTTTTAACTCTAGATCCATTCGTGAAATTATCTCCCTGTTAGGGTCAGGTACTTCCTCTTTCAGTGGTAACAAAGGGGGCTAAATATATCAAGAAAATAGTATAGTATAAGCCGTTACATTCTATAGAATGCTTGGTTTCACACTTTGTAGATTACATATACAATATAATAATAAATTTAATTCTACAGACATAACACCATAAACTTGTTTTGAAATATTTTATTTTATTACAGAAAAAAAGTATTTTAAAAGAATCGATAATCCTGCTACATACATCTCTCTTCCAGAGTGGAGTGGTAGTTTGACTGAATGATGATCTGCTGGTTTTGGACGAGGAGGATGATTTGTTGTACTCAGAAGGTTGTTTTATTCTGTTCCTTGTTCTCCTTGGCTGAATCCGTTCTAGGAATTGTATCAACGTTATCCAGCTGCATAAACAAAAAAATAAAGCAAAAAATTATTTTTGAGATAGGGGGTCATCCATAAACGACGTCACGCTTTCTTTGACGTTTTTTACCCCCCCCCCCTCCCTTGCGTCAAACGTCCTCACAGAAAGCCAGACCCTCCCCCCTAAAATGACGTCACACCTCAGCCTACAACTCGCCTAAAAATTGCAGTTGAATTTTTTTAAAACATCGATATTTTTCTAAAATTTTATCTGAACTCTGTCAAAATAGAGTATTTTAATCAATTCCTATTACAATTTATTAAAACAGTTTTCTTAAACGCGAAATAACGTCTAAAATTAGTTTTCTAACATTGCTTTTTTATAATGCAAAAGTGTGACGTCGCACCATCTACACCCCCCTCCTCCTCATCACACACCGTCACCAAATTACGGACTCCATCTCCCCCCTACGAGTGTGACGTCATTTATGGACGACCCCATACTGATAAGTATGATAATATTTTTATTAACACGTTTTTTCTTAACTCAGCTTCGCGTTTGTTTGTTTGGTTGTTTGGTTGTTTGGATGTTTGTTGTTAAAATTGACATCGAAAATTAGCCCACTTCTGATTGCTCTAGAGACCTGAAATTTGGCATGCATGCTACTTTCGCCTAACAATTTCAGATGCAATCATAAAAACTAGCAATTAGTGACCGTAATTAGCTTAATTTAATTACGCCCCAAGGACCATAAAATTGAGGACATGATTTCTAAAGATACCGACAAGACTTGAGGCCTATTGACACAGTTACTTCGGCCCCAATCGATGTGAGCGCGCTGGCCGTGATCGTATAGTGGTTAGTACTTCGCGTTGTGGCCGCGACAACCCAGGTTCGAATCCTGGTCGCTCAAGATTTTTAGTCCGTGTATTTATAAACACTTTTTTAAAAACCACGTTTTTCATGTGTAGCAACGGACTAAAAAGGAGAAAATAAAATACTATAAAAAAACTTAAAAAAAAAACCACGTTTTTTTATGTGTAGCAACGGACTAAAAAGGAGAACGGACACGATAACACATTGTTAACGGTGACACAGTTGGTACGCTGGGCATGCTAAAATACACATAAACACGTTTTTCCTTAACTCAGCTTCGCGTTTATTTGTTTGTTTATGGGAGATTTGATCACGTGATTCGTGAGTAGATCTCCACGCCAGCAACGTAAATTACACCCTTTCTCTGTTTAAAGCGTATCGGTCGCTCAAGATTTTTTTAGTCCGTGTATTTAAAAACACTTAGTCAAGTCATACTTAATCAAGTGATTAGATAAAGTAGAAAATAAACTATATAAAAAACTTTTTAAAAACCACGTTTTTCATGTGTAGCAACGGACTAAAAAGGAGAAAATAAAATACTTAAAAAAAACTTTTAAATAAATTTTCATACATTTGATGACAAAAAACGTGGGTCGGGCAGATGGGTCGGGAAATTTGATGGTGAACGTACCCACGTTTTTTGTCATCAAATGTATGAAAATTTATTTTCTACTTTTTAGTCCACAAGAAAAACGTGGTTTTTTAAAAAGTTTTTTTTAAGTATTTTATTCTACTTTTTAGTCCACAAGAAAAACGTGGTTTTTTAAAAAGTTTTTTTTTAAGTATTTTATTAAAAAGTGTTTTTCAATTTAGTTTGAATATTAATGGCAAATAATACAACATAGAAACCAATGCAGTAAATGGTCTTTTTTTTTCATCTTTGAGATTTATTTAAAAAAAAAACTAAAAGAAAAATCGAACCTGTATTGCTCCTTTTTTGTACTGTACTCACATCGATTAAGTAATCGAACAATCAGAGATTCTTGTATAGGGATCCGATGTTGAATACAAATATCTTTGATCTGAAATTAATTGAGTTTGTGTATTATGGTATTTTATTTTTTTTGTGACCATTAGAAAAGGAATTTACTTTAATTTTGAAAGCACAATGTTCACAGTTCAAATAGAAAACAAGAAAATAATTAATCTACTCGCTGAAAAAATTAGCCTCTAATTAAAGAAGTGTGCAAGTGTACAAACATCAACTTGTCTATCTGTTTTTTTTTAAAACACTTGCAGTTAAAATTAGAAAAAAAAACAACACGTATCCTTCCTATTTATCCAAATTTTTCGTTTTTATTTTGTTTTGTTTACTTTTTAAATTTCCCAATAAAGAACTTTCAATGACTATAGAGCTGGTAAGTAGGTCACCAACCAGTTCTATGGCTCATGCAGGTTTTATTGAGTCGTAGAACTGGTTTGTGACCTTCTTACCAGCCCTATAGATGTAGTTTTGTTTGTTTACATGAACATGTGAAAACTTACGAGATTAGCCGAGAGAAGACCCGTTCTTTTTCTATCAGACGCTTGAAATGATGCAATCAGCTTATCATAGTCGATGGAAAACTCATTTTCATTGAGCTGAGCTTCAATCATTCTCAAAAGTTTGATCTCCCCTCCGTCCCCGAAGAAAGGACTGCCGGGTGTGTGTCTGAATATCGATGAGAATTTTAATGTGAGAATCGTCTCAAAGCTTTTATATGAGAATCGTCACAGAGCCTTCATAAGAGAATCGTCAAAGAGCTTTTATGTAAGAATCGTCACAGAGCTTTTATATGAGAATCGTCATAGAGGTTTTATGGAAGAATCGTCACAGAGCTTTTAAACGAGAATCGTCACATAGCTTTTTTTTGTGAGATTCGACACATAGCTTTTATATGAAAATTGTCACGGAACTTTTATTTGAGTATCGTCACAGAAATTTTTAATGTGTATGTCCGAGAACAAAACTCAGGCCTGCTTTTGCGGTATAAAAATTGAAGATTACAAAACATGCAAATGTAATTAGCCAAAGAAATACCGTCTGATCTGGCCACTTACCTAATCGGGGTGTGTAAGCCTAGTTGGGCTGTGTTGCCATTGTGGTGTTGGGTAGAAGACGACGGGCTGGGTGGTTTGCTGAAAGTTGACCAAGATAATAATTACAATGTTTTCTTCAAAATTGAAGTCAATACATGTCCGCTTATCTGGTCAGATCGACGTAGAGTTGTGGGGGGACATTTGGTAACCAGGTAACTTGACTCGTCCCCAAAAAGTGTTGGGAACCCATTGAAACTGGGTAAGCTCAGGCACATGAATCTACAGCAAAATCCAGTCAAAACTCTCGAGATTGGGTGTTACCACCCCCTCCCCGAACGAAATAGAAACATTCTATAATTTATACAGAAAACATATACTTTAACCGGCTACATGACATTACCCCCCCGGACAACCCCCGTATTTACCCCCCCCCCCCGGAGCAATTACGCCACTGTCAATTACCCCCTAGGGAATTACCCCCCCCCCCCCCCCCCCCCATCCACCAAGATAGAATCTAACTCTATACCTATATATTACCTTAATCCTAACCTTATGACGAAGATGAAAAACCTAAGAATTCACCTCAGCTTAAAATAAACCCAAAACAAAACTCAACTCTAGACATTGATTTAAGCCTAATTCTGATTCTAATCCTAGCCCTAACCCTAGACCTAGCTCAAACTCAAACCCTAGCTCTAACCCTAGCTGAACCTTAAGCTATGACCGGGGGGTAATGTCCTACTGGGTAATTGACAGGGGGGTAATTGACTGGGGGTAATTACTCCACTCATCCTAAAATTTCACCCCCCCCCCCTGAGGAAAATGTCCGAAAGAAACCCTTGTGTTACCCTCTACCATAGGTCAACACCTACCCACTGTCATACATTAGCTTGACTTAACGTTTAAAACCGCTTAAAATTTACAACTCGCGAGCTGAAGGTACCCACATTTTGTCTCTGTTCCTTAGAGCTGCCGCTACCCACAGTCCTACATTAGCTTGACTTAACGTTTAAAACCGCTTAAAATTTACAACTCGCGAGCTGAAGGTACCCACATTTTGTCTCTGTTCCTTAGAGCTGCCGCTACCCACAGTCCTACATTAGCTTGACTTAACGTTTAAAACCGTTTAAAATTTACAGCTCGCGAGCTGAAGGTACCCACATTTTGTCTCTGTTCTTTAGAGCTGCCGCTACCCACTGTCATACATTAGCTGGACTTAACGTTTGAAAACGTTTAAAATTAAAATCTCGCGAGCTGAAGGTACCTACATTTTGTCTCTGTTCCTTAGAGCTGCCGCGACAAAAGTGAGGAACCTCTCGTAGTTCACATCTCTCTGGTTCCTGTAGTCTGAAACAAACATGGCCGCCACCAGCTGGAGAAGGTCTGGTGGAAACTTAAACTGGAAGTAAAATAAATAGCAGGGTGTTTTGATATAGTAAAAGGCTACGTGGTAGTCCATCGAAAGAGGACAAAAATAACAAAAACAACAACAAAAATAAAACAAAAACAAATAAACAATTCTTGGATATTTTTACTTATTGAAATACGAAACGAAATGCTAAACAAATTTTGGGCATGTTTACATACAAACATCATCTTTTCCTTTTGGTGCCCAAGACACTTGGGCAGAGTTTCTTCCACTAAACAAATCTTGGGTAAGTTTACATAAGACTACAGACGTACAAGACAAAATACTGAACAAATATTGGGTGTGTTTACACAAAGACTACAGACATACCAGACAAAACACTAAACAAATATAGGGTAAGTTTAAACAAGACTACAGACGTACAAGACAAAATACTGAACAAATCTTGTGTAAGTTTACTTACAGACATGCGAGACAAAATACTAAACAAATCTTGAGCGTGTTTACTTACAGACATACCAGACAAAATACTAAACAAATCTAGGGTAAGTTTAAATAAGATTACAGACGTACAAGACAAAATAGTACACAAATCTTGTAAAAGTTTACTTACAGACATGCGAGACAAAATACTAAACAAGTCTTGTAAAAGTTTACTTACAGACATGCGAAACAAAATACTAAACAAATCTAGGGTAAGTTTAAATAAGATTACAGACGTACAAGACAAAATAGTACACAAATCTTGTGTAAGTGTACTTACTGACATGCGAGACAAAATACTAAACAAGTCCTGATACTGGCAGTATCCTGTGAGGTGTTTATCCACGGTGTTGGAGATGTTGATGTAGATATCTTTCAACTGGTCGGCGTCAGCTTCGTACAGCTCGTGGCTCAAGATGTTGAGGAGCCGAGCCTCGTCCGTGGGGGTGAGGACGATGGGCGTGTCCGGCAGGTAAACTCCCCGGGGTATCATGGCCAACAGCCTGGCCCTGAACTCTTCGTCTGATACAGAGGACATGGTGGACGCTGTGCTGGGGGTCTGGGGGGGGGGGGGGGCGCGGAAGGGGAGGCAGAAATCATATAGGTCAGTGGTTCCCAATCTTTTTCTAGTGGCGACCCCCTTTCATAAAACGTAAGTAACCCGCGACCCCCATATAATTAACAAGTCGAAATTAGTAAAGAAAATAATAAGCACTAAATTAATATTTTCTAGTAGACTTTCAATATGAATTATTTTTGATAACTGTTTTAATACGATGAGCGAAATTACATGCTATTAACAAGCATTAACTAGCATTAACAATTAAATTTTGCAAATTTAAGAATTCTTCTTGTTATTCATCGGCAATGCTGGTAACATCAAGGAAAGCTCGGGGAAAATGACGCCGCAGTTCGTTGTCAAGAGATTCAAGATGCACAAAATCATTAAAAAATTTTATCTATCACACCACACAGCAGAGTTTCTCAAACATGGCAGTATTTCAAATAGGTATTTTTCCTCGCCAATTTTGCAGCTTTGATAAAAATGCCAAGAGATTATCATGAAAAGAGAAAATATTCGTTCATTTTCAAGTTAAGCTTATGTTGATGTTCGAATATGTCTGCTAGGTATGATACTCTCTACAACCACACCATGTCGTTAAAGTATATCAAAAGGTCTTGTTTCCTTGCACTTCCAAGAACATCTTGATTTCATCTTTCAATTCAAAAACACGATTGACATTTCCTATTGAAAACCAGCGTACTGAAACATGACGCACCATCCGTACAAGCCCCACAGCCGTTTTCCCATTTTAATTTATTCCTCCATCCAGTTTCAAAAAACGTATTTATTTTCTCCATGATATCATCACAAAACATCAACTCTTATTTGCTAACATCTGAATGAATATATTTCACAAAGACTGCACTGGAATCGCCAAGAATTAATTTTACCATCTTCAGCATACATGGTTCGATCAGATTTTCTCCTTTGTGTCAGAATTTTTTTGCTTGGCAACTTCTAATACTACTTCATATGATGCTTGCACTAATGCTGTGTTTTCTTGGTGAAAACGTTCTGTTCTATCAAGTCTTTGACGTTTGCAACTAGCTTCATGCCGACGAAAGAACTATATATCTTTTTTTGTGTGTTCCGAATGACTCGTCTCAAATTGACGTTTGACTCCTGACTAAGAACAACTTTGCACAGTACAAATTGTTTATTCTCTATTCCATTTCCAGTGATGTTAGTAATGCCGAATTTCAAATATTTTTCGAAATATTTATGTTTTTTTATTCATTGCTAGAGTTTAGTCTACCAGTTGGCGACCCCACAGGAACCCATGATATAGGTCATGTCTAGTGGTAACATTAACATCTGTACTCTAATACAGTATACGGTAATGTGAAAATCTGGGAAACATGTTCGATTTAGTGGTAGAATACATTTTAAATCTTACTATCTAGAAGCTTAAGAAGACGACTATTTTACTACTCAGAGGCGAAAGATGTCCCGATAACCATTTAACTAACCAGACACTAAAGATGTCCCTGTAGTAGACAATATACGCTTTGAGTTTAGCTGCTGGCTATACCGACATCAGTTTTAGCTCCTAACCATTTCACTACCCAGACGCTAAAAATGTCCCGGTAATCATTTCACTAATAAGAGGCTAAAGATTTCCCGGTAACCATTTCACTACGCAGACGCTAAAATGTCCCGGTAACTATTTCACTACACAGAGGCTAACCATGTACCCAGTAACTATTTCACCAATGATGGTCAGATTCTATTACTACTCACCATATAGTTGGGTGCGTGATAGAAGCCATTGGATGAGTAGCCAGGGTAGGAGCGTCTAACTTGACCGTTACGTGAGACGGCCTGGTGGGGTGGGCCAGGTAAACCATCTTTTTGTTCAAATCTCTTGGTCCACGCTTCAGGCTCAAACACTGTGGACATCTGGAATAGTTGTGTGAATAGACATGTCAACGTTTGGTACTGAATAGTTGTGTGAATAGAGGTGTCAACGTTTGGTACTGAATAGTTGTGTGAATAGAGAGGTCAACGTTCGGTACGGAATAGTTGTGTGAATAGAGAGGTCAACGTTTGGTACTAAATAGTTGTGTAAATAGAGATGTCAACGTTTGGTACTATATAGTTGTGTTTATAGAGATTAGAGTTTCTTCTGGTCAACTCTTAGGGGAGGTTTCCCCTCCCCCCCCCTCTCCCAGAAAAATGTCTACCTCCCCCCCCCCCCCAACGAAATAGAATTTACATGGAAAATATATATATCCAGTGTCCCCTCCCTCCCTCCAGAAATTTTAGTCAATCCCCCCCCACCCCACCCCAAAAATAATTTCAAGTGCCCCCCCCCCCCCGAGAAAACTATGGAAGAAATACTGGCAGAGAGGTAATCGTTTGTTTAATAAATGATAAATGATTGTGTGAATAGAGATTTCAACGTTTGCTACTGAATGGTTGTGTAAGTAGGTATGTGAACGTTTAGCACTGAATAGTTGTGCGAATAGAGATATAAATGTTTGTTACAGAATGATTGTGTGAATAGAGATGTGACCGATTGATACTGAATACTTGTTTAAATAGAGATGTGAACGTTTGTTACTGAATCGTTGTGTGAATAGAAATTTAAACATTTGTTTAAAAAAAAAAAAATTTGGTGACTGATGAACTACTTATCTCTAAAAAAAAAAAAGGTTAATTTTTTTTTCTTTTTTTTTTTTAAAAAGCTGGTCCCCGATGGGAAATCCCACTGCAAGCCACAGTCTTATAAGCATATCGTGAGAACCTAAACACAAAACGCGAATTTCAAAACATAACACAGTTACCTGCAAGTTTTTCATTCTGTTTTCCTCAATGGGTGCCAGGGTGGGGTACCGGGACGAGATGTCCTTAGAGTCGGGTCGTCTGGTGATGTACTGTCTGCTGGTGGCCGACTTCTTGTGGAAGGGGTCCTTCAACGTGGGAGGAGGAAATCAGCGGGTCAGAGGTCAGGGAGGTCACATGGTTTAAAATACATCCATTTAGCGGGTGAATGATTAGGGCAATACTATGGTTTAAAATACATCAATTTAGCGGGTGAATGATTAGGGCAATACTATGGTTTAAAATACATCAATTTAGCGGGTGAATGATTAGGGCAATACTATGGTTTAAAATACATCAATTTAGCGGGTGAATGATTAGGGCAATACTATGGTTTAAAATACATCAATTTAGCGGGTGAATGATTAGGGCAATACTATGGTTTAAAATACATCAATTTAGCGGGTGAATGATTAGGGCAATACTATGGTTTAAAATACATCAATTTAGCGGGTGAATGATTAGGGCAATACTATGGTTTAAAATACATCAATTTAGCGGGTGAATGATTAGGGCAATACTATGGTTTAAAATACATCAATTTAATTTAAAAAAAAAAAGGCTGCCCCGGGTGAGGATCGAACTCACAACCTCCGCATGACTTGCTAACCGATTGTGCCACCGGGGCTGCTTGCATTTGGCTGTAGCGATAGAGTTTTAAAGTTGAACGAGTACTGACCGCTGACCAAATCAAGTCTGGCCACTAGACCGAGACATCAGTGTAAAACCCATCGTGTTGACACGGTAGGATCCGAACCTCCCTCTACCGGTGTGTAGTTACTGTGTGAATAGGTTGTTTATAGTCTACATAACGGTAGGGCTATAGATAATTGAACTTTCTTTTTTAGGTAAATTCTATTTCTGAAGTATGTGAAATATAGGCTTTCATTATATACAGTGTTTCTTCCAGACTTTTTTCTCCGGGGGGGGGGGGGGGCACTTGAAATTTTCGGGGGGCGGTAGACTTTCTTCGGGGGGGGGGGGGGGGGACACTGTTAAAAGTATATATTTTCTATGTCACAGACTGTATTATTATGTATCTTTATTATATTGTGTTTTGCATGAATGAAGAGTACCTGGCTAGCGGAAGGACTGTCTGAGCGATCGTCATGTGTTTTTCCGTGTTTTGGGTGAGATCGCTCATTGACGTAAGGGGAGAGAAAGTTGTGAATAAAAGAGAGATCGAAAGGTGAACGGGTGTTGTGTGCTAGGACTTGGGACTTGAACTGTGGCAGTGAATGTAAGATGTCTCCATGACTTGGAGTCGTGACTGTGACTGTACTTGTGGAGTATCTTCTAATATGGATTTACCATGAATAACCATGGATTTACCATTCTCACTGTATATAGTGTAAATAAAGTCATCATTTGAAGTTGCCACTACTGCTTGTATTCCTATGTGAAAACTAACCCACAACAACAAAGAATACATGTTGTTACATTCTATATAAATTATATACATTTCATTTCGTTCGGGGGGGGGGGGGGGTAGTTGATTTCTTTAGTTGATTTCTCAAGCAAAGTGAGATTAACTAATAACTATACTATGTTTGAAAAGTTGAGGTATATTATGTGACTGAGTGTAAACATAATCACGTGACATGCTATCACGTGACGCGGAAGTGACGTAGAGAACTGACCTTGTAGGGCTGGTTGTACCGTCTAGTGAAGTCGGTCAGGGCGCGAGGGTCAACGTTGTTTGGCTTGTCTGAGATGAGAGCAACTTTCTCGTACCTGGGCAGGTCCACGCTGGGGAGGTAAGTGGTGGATGACATACAGCACATGTGCTGGGTGCTGATAGGTGACATATAGCACATGTGCTGGGTGCTGACATACAGCACATGTGCTGGGTGCTGATAGGTGACATACAGCACATGTGCTGGGTGCTGACATACAGCACATGTGCTGGGTGCTGATAGGTGACATATAGCACATGTGCTGGGTACCGATAGGTGACATATAGCACATGTGCTGGGTGCCGATAGGTGACATATAGCACATGTGCTGGGTGCCGATAGGTGACATATAGCACATGTGCTGGGTGCCGATAGGTGACATATAGCACATGTGCTGGGTGCTGACATACAGCACATGTGCTGGGTGCTGACATACAGCACATGTGCTGGGTGCTGACATACAGCACATGTGCTGGGTGCTGATAGGTGACACACAGCACATGTGCTGGGTGCTGATAGGTGACACACAGCACATGTGCTGGGTGCTGATAGCTAACATATAGCACATGTGCTAGATGTTGCTAGGTGACATACAGCACATGTGCTGGGGGCTGATAGCTAACATATAGCACATGTGCTAGGTGACATACAGTATATGTGTTAGATGTCGACAACTAACATACAGCACATGTACAGGGTGATGATAGCTAACATATAGCCAGTGGCGTAGCGAGGGGGCGGGGGTGTGGACCGCACCGGTTGACACCATTTAGGGGGTGACACCAAGGCAAAAAATAGCAAAATATATAGAGAAAAGTGATAATTCCACTTAATTAAGTGATTAATTCGAGTGTTAAAAAGTCTTTTAAGAGCAAATTTGACAAATCCCTACAAGGGTGGAGTGGGGGGGGGGGGGGGGGGGCAAATCGAAAGTTTGAGGGGGAGGGGGTGCAAATTGAAAGTTTGAGGGGGGGGTGCAAGTCGAAAATTGAAAGTTTGTCCCCGGGCGCCGGGAAGGGTCGCTACGCCTCTGGGGGGTGACACCATTAAGTGCCGCACCGGGTGACACCGGCCCTCGCTACGCCACTGCATATAGCGCATGTGCTAGATGTTGCTGGATGTGATGGAATGACTTAGCGGTAGAGAGCTGGACTGCTAACCCGTAAGACTCGAGTTCGAATCCGGTTTCGCAAGTAGACCGTTCCTGAGTCCACCCAGCTCTGATGGGTACCTAACTCACGTGGGGAAAGTAAAGGCGACTGGGCATAGTGCTGACCACATTATCCCTTCATATGCCGAGGTCACAGAAACAGATGAACTCTACTTCACTTGCCCCGTAGGCCGCCAGGTTTGAAAGGGAACTTTACTTACTACTACTAGAGGTCGCCAGGTCACATATAGCACATGTGCTAAATGAACTACACACATGTTCTCATTCAATGCACTAAAGTCCATTAACAACAGTGCATAAAGTCGACAGGTAAGATAAATTTCATTTTAAGACGTCACCATCTTAATGTCCATGTAAAACTCCCAGCAAACCTCCAAGACGAATTGATGCTTTGAATTAACATCACCGATAACATAACCTAACTCAAACGTAATGAAATAAAACCTAACTCAAACCTACTATCTATCTATCTTCTATATATATAATTCTCTTCTTCGAGCCGTTAGAAAACAAGCTGCAACCTCGCCTTACAGTCCCCTCTCTTCCTCTATATCAATATCACAACCACCCCCACCCCGCCCCCACATTGTCTGGTGAGTTGTGTTCACTCTGTTTACATTTTACAATCACAGAGACGGGTTTGGTGACGGCTATTAGAAACGATTTTAAACTTAGAGGAGGTAACTAAGAGGAGGCTGCTTTCACGTGGGGGGGGGGGGGGGGGGTAGTGTTTTTAAGCAAATATTTTCAATGGCAGCATTGGTACTGTCGAATTCACAAATTATAAATTACTGAAAAGTAGAAAAAAAAAAAACAACTAAATAGCGGCGTATGATACGCAGCGGGTCGGCTCGTCTATATAAATAATTCTCTTCTGGGAGACGCTAAAAAACAAGCTGTAAACGCGCTCCCTACTACCCCACCCCTACATGGTCTAGTGAGCTGTGTTCACTCTTAATGTTTACAAACAGAGCCGGGTTTAGTGACGACTATTAGGGGCAGATAATTTAGTTTGAAACGATTTTAAACGTAGGGGGGGGGGGGGGTAACTAAGTGGAGTTTACTTTAACGGAGGGGGGGGAAGGAGGGGGGGTATCGTTCTTAACGAGCTACTGATAGTGTTTTAAAGAAATATTTTCAGTGGCAGCGTTGGTAGTGTCAATTCACAAATTATGAATAACTGAAAAGTAGAAAAAACAACTAAATAGCGGCGTATGATATGCCGCGGGTCGGCTCGTATAATATAATTACAAACTAAGACGTAACACCTAAACCAAAACCTAATACACCAATAATTGTTCTTTCAAATCAGCGAGGGTAGGAGGCCACTTTTTGAGAACCTTTAATGATATAAAAGTCTAAGTTTCCCGAACGCATTGAGCTAATGAAGCGTGAAGTCTCTTCAAATGTCAACCTTAAGTGCTGGATCACTGAAGCGTGACAGTGACTCGAACAGCTTCAGATTCAACACTTACAAAACATGCGTGGTGACAAACACACGTTTTGTGGTTGAGGAACGTTTAAAACATAGTTGAGGCCAAACGCCCGTGTGTGTGTGTGGGTGGGGGGGGGGGGAATGTTCAACCCACTGATGCTAGACAATGGTCCTTGTGTCGTATCCATCTATCTATCTTCTATATATATAATTCTCTTCTGGGAGCCGTTAGAAAACAAGCTGCAAGCGCGCCTTGCAATCCCCTCTCTTCCTCTCTATCGCTACCCCCTCTCCCCTTCCCCCCCTCCTCTCCCCCCGCCCACCCCTCACATTGTCTGGTGAGCTGTGTTCACGTTAGATGTTTACATAATACAATCATATAGCCGGGTTTGGTGACGGCTATTAGTGGCAGATAATTTAGTTTGAAACGAGGTAACTAAGAGGAGGCTGCTTTCACGGGGGGGGGGGGGGGGGGGGGGGGGGAGGCGGCGGGTGGAAGGGGGGGTTTAGTGTTTTAAAGCAAATATTTTCAGTGGCAGCATTGGTACTGTCGAATTCACAAATTATGAATTACTGAAAAGTAGAAAAAACAACAACTAATTAGCGGCGTATGATATGCCGCGGGTCGGCTCGTACAATTTATTTAAAGATAAAACTTACATATACAATTATTTATTTAAAGATAAAACATACACATATAGGTAAACCTTTATTATAAGATGCATTAACAATCAAAATAATTTTAAAAAAAAAGTGTTAGCAAGAACGCTGGATTTGAGCTTAACAGCTCTACCTACTCTGCTGGACGCTCTATCACCGTGACCATGTTCCCTCCAATAATGCGCGGCCTGTAGGTGGGTGTGTAGTTGGTGCCAAACGGTGCGGTGAGTGCTGTTAGCCCAGCGATCTTGATGTGGTCGAGTTCCGTGAATTCGCTCTGTTGAACACACAGATACATGCATTAGTTGGCTGGGTTTGTGTTGTTTCAGTAAGACATTAGAGCTCTTCAGTGTGGTCAAGGGAAACAAAAAGAAAACCTATTTCCGGTAACCGTCGGTTCGAAATATTTTTGTTTGGAATTCTGCCACTCCGGAAACAATGCGGATGATTAAACACGGCTCTTTATATGGCATACACAATTATTTGTTGGGACAAGGATAGAATCGTTATAAATTGTACATAAAGCTTTTGTTTTTATTTGATTTCTACGATGTAATAGACGCATGTAAGAAACAACCACACAGTAGAATTGTTACCAGGGGCGACTATAATGTTTGGATGTTTTGTCAACAAAATACATAACATTTAAATTTGTAAAGGGTAAATAAAGTATTACGAGTGAGTTTAAAAACAATACAGAAAAGTAAATGAACAAGGTGACATAATTTTAAAAAATATTTTTATACATTTTTAAAATTTAATACTTTGAAACGTCTTAGATATCAAAATAATATTGTGACTTTAGCAATGGACTAGGTACAAAGTTTTGAACCTTTTATAAACAATTACATTATTTAAAATTATAATACATTTTTTGAAACGGTGTATATAATATTTTGAAATGTATCGGATATCAAAATCATATTTTTTGGCTATTGTCTGGGTAAAAATTTCTGAACCTTTTAAAAACGTCTACATGTCTTTAAAATTATAATTTATGTTGAGTCAATAAACATTTTGCGACAAGGGCAGTCTAATTCCCAGCATACAAGAGTTGTGAGGATTTATCCCTAATATCCTTAATCTCACCTCAAACAGACTGTAAGCACGTACACAGTCTTTTGTTATAATCTACTGGGGTGAATGGGTGTGTACGTAGTACCGGTGCCAGTACTAGAGTAATGGGGCTAGTACCATAGTAAGGGGGTAGTACCATAGTAAGGGGGTAGTACCATAGTATCGAATCATGTACCACACTATAGGGGCATGTACTATATTATCTGAGCTAGTACCTTAGTATCGGAGGTAGTACCATAGTATCGGGACATGTACCATAGTACCAGGTCTAGTACCATAGTATCGAATTATGTACCATAGGATCTGAGAATAGTTTCCCTTTCAAACCTGACGGTCTATGGGGCAAGTGAAGTAGAGTTCACTTGTTTCTGTGACCTCGGCATATGAAGAGATAGTGTGGTCAGCACTATGCCCAGCCGCCTTTACTTTCCCTAACGTGAGTTAGGTACCCATCAGAGTTGGGCGGACTCAGGGAAGGTCTACTGACGAACCCGGATTCGAACTCGAGACTTACGGGTTAGCAGTCTAGCTCTCTATCGCTAGACCACTCCGTCCCATATCGGAGGTAGTACCATAGTATCGAATCATGTACCATAGTATCGGGGCATGTACCCTAGTATCGGGGTAGTACCATAGTATAGGGGCATGTACCATAGTATCGAATCATGTACCATAGTATCGAATCATGTGCCATAGTATCGAATCATGTACCATAGTATCGAATCATGTACCATAGTATCGAATCATGTGCCATAGTATCGAATCATGTACCATAGTATCGAATCATGTGCCATAGTATCGAATCATGTACCATAGTATCGAATCATGTGCCATAGTATCGAATCATGTGCCATAGTATCGAATCATGTACCATAGTATCGGTGCATGTACCACACTATCGAATCATGTACCATAGTATCGAATCATGTACCATAGTATCGGTGCATGTACAAGACAGTGATGAAAGTTTCATGACAGAACAATATGAGGGTAAGCTACGATGTTTAAATCATATGTAAGGTATTTTTATGTTGAGATATTATTTTGTTTGTTTCCGTATGGATA